TCAGCGCTGGTGGACGGTGGCGCATTTGCCGAGCCTTGGCAAGAGAGATCGTCTTCTGCTGGTATGTCGTGGTGATAGCAACGGCATCATCGCGGTCGATTGTGGCCTTCATCAGGGCGGCCATCCAGAGCCGGCCCTGCTTGACGTTGGGAACGGCAAAGTAGTGCACCATGGGCTTGGTGAAGTTGACGGCCCGCGAGAGGCCAGCACGGGGCGGCACTAGCTTGAAGATGAAGATGGAGTCTTGGGAGGAGCCCGATTTGAGCGAGGAGGTCGGCTCGGCATCCGCCTCGGCCGAGGCCAGCGTGGGCATGTTGCTGTTGGCAGGGACGGCAGGTGTCGTCGAGGCACCCGTGAGGGTAGCATGGAGGCCGGTTAGGCGCTCGTTGTCGGCCGGCAACACCCGATGGAAAGAAATGTCGATAAGACCCTTCTCCTGGTCATCGTCCTCAGAATAGTAGTACGCAAGGCGACGGCCCTTGAGGACAAAGAGACGCGGCTTCCACGTAGCCATGAGGTTGGAGCTCTTCTTCTTCATCCAGCCGCTGTAGTCGGCATCCTGCATCGCCTCGCGCGGGCTGATCTTCAGCAGGCCGCGCTGGTAGGCGCTCGTCTCTTTCTTGCCCTTCTTACGAGCGGCGCCGGCATTGTTGCTCCGGGCCGAGGTCACGGTAGCCGTGGTGCTCGGGCTCCGCGGGTCAGGAGAATCCAGTTCAAAGCTCGGTCCAGCCGAAGGCGTACTAGATCCGGTCCGAGACGGTGATTGCATCGGTGAGTCTTTGGGGAAGGAGTCCGCATGCGAGACAGGCGAGGCCATCTTGTTCCGGTCGTGTCCTACGACAGCATCCGACAGCGCACGGAGACCAAAGCTCGGCGTCTTGAAGCCAGGTCTGGCCGAGAACCAATCACCTTGGCGATGGGGCGAAGCAGGACCTGGCGAAGCAACCAACGGGCGCGGCTTGTCCAGTGCATTGTTTGAACCGTCCAACTTAGTGACCGTGGGAGCGGGGTTGTCCTTGGGCGGGAGGGCAGGGCGCATGCGCACGGAATCAGTCGTGTTCGTAGACGTGGTCCGACGGTGCGGAGCAGCACCTCCATTGGTTCCCGCTACACCGTAGTACTTTTGGGCTGCCGATGACAAACCGGATGGGTCGCGCACCGAGTCAACACTACCGAAACGTGAGTGCCGGGAAAGAGCAGTAGCACTTCTGACGCGCTGCTCCTCCGCATAGGACGAGGCAGAGACAGTCGGACCACCCCGGGCCGATTTTATGAAGCTGTCACGGTTCTTCTTCTGTAGCAGTGAACGACGGCGGGGATCGGCATCGGTGCCTGAAAAGTAGCCTCTGTCAAAATCAACATTCGGCTCGCTCAGCCCGGCAGTGAGGCCCTGGTCCAGGTCCTGGGAAGCGAGCACATCCTGGATGCCAGCCGACGACAGTGGCCGGGGGTGGAACAACGGATGGTGCGCCGGGGGAGGCTGCTGGGCATTTGAACTAGCATTGCCAAGTGTCCAGTTACGGTCAAACGAGGGGTGCTTCTTATGTTGCTGCTGCTGCTGCTGTCCCTGTTGTGACTGTGGCTCGGGCTGGAAGTGCTGCTGCGTGTTGTCGACCAGGGGAAATGTACCGCTTGATGTAAGGCGTGGGGCGATGGACGAGGCGATGGATGCGCGGTAATCCGTTGACGAATGGCGCCGCGAGTGGTGCAGGTCACGGATAGATGCTGCAGACGGGCGCTTTTCGTGAAGGATCGATCGCCTTGGCGACAGGGGTGCTCCAGAACCGTCCAAAAAGCCGCGAGTTGATATGGGCGAGATGGGAGAGACCGGTTGGGCGGGTTCCATTCGAGGCGTCTGATTGAGAGAAAGGCGACGGGATTGGATCGAGATCGGGCGGTCGTCAATAGGCGGCAGACGCTGCTGCATGTTGGGCGGGTTGTTGGCACCAGTTAGAGTGTTTGTGCGGCTGCGATTTGATCGTCTTGCATCCTCGGAAGCAATGTCGCTGCCGTAATTGCTCCGCCGCCTGTTTCCTGTGGCGGATCCGTGGCCATTTACCTCGTCCTGCAAAGCCTTGATTTTCTGCCATGTCTTCAGGCGGCGCCCTACGGGACCCAAATCAAATGCCTTGATAAAAAGCGACGCCTGGTCCATCTCCAAGATGACTTCACCCGTAATTTCCTGGTCACGGAAGACCTCGCAGTGCTTCTTCTCGACGCCGACGGTAAAAAGGTACTCCGCGACATCGTCGGGGCCCCAAGCCTCGACTTCGCTGCGGGTGTGCAAGCCATCTTCCTCCTCGTCCGTTTCCTCGCCCTGGATGTAGGACATGCGGTGGTCGAGGTTGGAGCTGTATTCACTGCCAGAGTCGGTAGGTGCGTGCAGGTGCGTGCCATTGCTTCCGGATGGAGACCGAAGGTCGGTAATGTGTTCGTCGATGACGTTGAGCGTCTCGTGCAGGACTTGGCTGTCATGTCCTGAAACCAGGCGTCCGCTATAGCCAGTGCTCGCAGATACAGGAGGAGGTGTTGACTGGTTGAACGACGAAGTGGGTGCAGGCGAAACCACGTTAATCGACGTTGGGGGTTGGGACGAGACGGGGATCGTTGCGGCCGTAGGTGTCGTCGGGGACTGTGGCCGGTCTTGGGCAGTTGTAGTCGACGCCGGCGCTGGGGCAGAAACATCAGCCACAGAGGCGGCAGCTGTAGCGGCCGGTGGCTCGGCTACGTTAGAAGATGTCGACACGGCGGCCGTCCCATTTGATGAGGATGCGGTTGCGGCCGCATTGTCATCTGAAATCGTATACGGCGGAGGTGGCTTTTCTTCGGTGGTTGGGCTGGTCGGTAGACTCGGCAGGGGAACTTGTTTTACGGCGGCGAGAGCGCTGGCACCGGTGGGGAAGCCTTTTGGAGATGGGCGGGTGTAGACTGGATACAAACACGTTAGCCATGAAATAATAAGAACATAAAACCCGTCACATCGAAAGCCAGCGTAAAGGGGATCGGGGGGGGGAGTACCTTCAGGGAACAGGCCAGTGTTGCTGCTGACCATGTGCTTTCCCAAAAACCAACCGTCGCCAAATTCGTCGTCCCGCTCCAACAGCTCAACTCGGTCGCCCTTTGCCAGTGTCAATTCATCTGAACTTCTGGCTTGAAAGTCGTCTGTATCGGTGAGAGCCGTGGTTAGTCACGAATCGTAGACCGCATGCTTCGTGTCGTCTTCTCGTGGGTCGGACTTACGGATCACGACGAGAATGTCGCCCACGTCGGGTCGTGGATTTTGTGCTGCAGCCATAGTGGCGGCGAAGATGAGGTGCGAACCTCAGTAGTGCACAAAAGGACCGAAGTAAGGGGAGAAAGCTCGTGAGTGGAGTGGAGGGAGGGATGAGAGAGAGAAGAAGGGGGGAGGGAGAGTAAATTCGACGATTGATATCGAGGGGGGAAAAGTGGGCGGTATGATTGTATCTCTCACTTCTGGAAAAAAAAAGATGAAAGCTTGAAAGAAGACCCGAGGAGTGTTGTCGTCGCGCGCGCAGTTGCGGACACCTAGGCGAATGCAAAATCAACAGCGACCCACGGGGTGTCGATGCTGCCGTCAACGAGAAGAAAAAGGAGATTGAAGCGTCACGATTGTACAGTGTCAAAGCTGAGACTCGTCAGGAGTACAGCGCGATGGAGAGTGGGTGATGGCTGTCGGAGAAACGGTGTCAAACGAGAAAATTGCGTCGGGCGTCAGGGACAAAACAAGCGAGAGGACGATAGGGCGACAAGCAAAAGCGACGGACGGGTGTTATGGCATCCACTAGACGAGAGGGCGTTTCGTGGCAGAATGGCTGTGGTCTGTGGTGCCGCGCAGTCGCTGTCGTACGAAGGTGAGAGGGGGCCGAAATGTGAAGCGTCGGGCTGAGGCGCGCGCGAGCAATAAAAAGAGTGAGATACGATGAGAGAATGGCGTATCTTACGAGGCGGGCAGCCAGACGGAGAATGAGAGAGTGTGTCGGGAGAAGAAAAAAACGAAAGAAGAAATATCGAGGCGCCTGGGGCGGGGACTAGAACGTCAAGTTGAGCCAGCCGTGGCGGTTATTATGATATAATGGCGAGAGATTATGTTCGAGGTAAAAGCAAAAGTTGTCGAGACTAGGAAATACAAGTGCGAGAAAAGTCGAAGGGAACCTAAGGGACACGAGCCAGATAGGACGCCAGGATGAGGACCCACGGGAAAGGCCAGTCCGAGTAATTATTTGGTGGAGAAGGCACAGGGGGCGATAGTGTTAGGGGCGAGTCGACGAGTCGACACTGGCGTGTGTTGGGCCCTTGGGGGCGTTATTGCGCTGTATTGGACTTTAGGTTCCCTGGTGCTTGTTACCGAAATTTACCTGCGGTCTGTCGATCGTGGAAGATTTCTTGGTCGATCCGGGGGACGGAAACATGCGAGGTCAAAGGGCAACAATGGCAGAAACGTAGCAAAACAATGACAAGAGAAAATAGCAATATCGATATGGAAAAGAGAGACAGAACGCAAAACACAAGACGACTGAGCACTGCGTGCGATGAGAAGCAGTCGAGACAAGGCAAAATGCAAGGGTCGAATGCGCGTTGGGGTTGGTGGAGACCAGTCCGAGGAGTCTGAATAAGAAACGAGACACGGCCGCCAGGCGGGTAGAAAAAGGCGTAGGGGCGGACAGGAAATGGAGCTAAGGCGACTGGCGCCAGCCGATAGCACAAGCCAGGGAGCGCGTGTGCACAGTGGATGTCGCGAAAGCGGCTAGGATCAACGTTTGCGGACGGAGGACCGCGATTCTTTAATCCATCACCTGGGCCTGTGTTGCGGTGAGGGCGGGCCCGCACAAGGATTCGACGGCCTGTAAGAGCAAATACGGTGGGGTCGTCAAGCTTCTTGCTTCTTGTTTCTTTTGATGCTACCCTTGGTTCGTCGCCTCGTCGTCTCGTCGCCTTGCTGTTGTTGAGTTGTTTGGCTCGCAATCGTGTTTGGATCCAAGATGCTGCTGCTGTGGGTGGGTTTGAGTGGGCGTGGTGGGAGTATCTTGTTAACCAAAAGCTACACTAGAACGAATGAAAAGGATAGGAATGGCGCCGTGGCCGAGAAAGGAGATGAAATGGTAAAGTTGGCCGAGCAGTACGTTGTAAGATACTGTGGAAGAAGACAAACAGACGGGAACACAAAAGGACACAAAAAGAGGAAGCAGAAAAAGGAGGCCAAGGCGAAAGCATTGGGACGCCGGGACGCGTTGTGCAGGAAAGAGGAGCCGTTCATGCACGGCCAGCACGCAGCGAGATGGCTGTGGAGAGGGCAGGTACGACCGCGACGAACAATGGTGGCCTGGCCGAAGCGGTTAAGGAAGGAAGGAGCTGAGTGGCAAGAACGACCGGATGGACGCCCATGATAATGCACTACTATGTATTATGCTAAGAAGGACGCGGTGTAGCGGGAAGGGTCCTGGGACGCAACAGAGGCTGCGTAATGGGCGCAGGCTGGCACAGAAAGACCGCAAACGGGCCGGCCAAACCAGGACCTGGTCTGGTCTATGGGACTATTCGGATATGTGTCGCTGGTTGCGAGAAGTTACGAGACACGAAGCGAGTAAGGAGCGAGAATACCTCGTGTCCAAGACAGGGAAGCCGCAAAGGAGCAAAGGGGAAGGAGCACGAAACAAACGAGGAAGCAGTGAAGGAAGCAACAAACGACTAAGCAACCACGCACACAGAGCCCAATGCGGCAAGCGAAGGCAGAAGACCATCCTTTTGCTATGCGCTTGCGACGTTCTCGAGTCGGCCAAGATACATCGTACATATCGAAGGGTTCTGGGTGACGTCTAACCGATTAGTGGGTGTTACCTGCGTGGATGATCAGGACCGTGCTTTCTTTCTGGCGTTGCGATAGCGTGGAGTTGTCGTGTGGGGCAGTGTTACTGGTTCTGTACTGAATTGGAATGCCGGGAAGGAGCAAAGACGAGCCACGGGAAGGAACCGCCAACATCACAAGTGAGACTAAATAGTGACATATTCTCATCAGGTAGTGAACAGATAATGTCCAAGAAAGAAGAGACACGCGTGACAAAAGGCCAGCTGAGACAAAACGTAGGTTGTTAGCGAACTTATGAGTAGACATTGAAATTCTGGCATGCTGCTCTCTCCACCGTGGAAAACCAGAAAGCCTAATAAAGAACAGAAAAAAAAAGTATCATATCAAATCATCACTATTGATAGGCGAGTCCGCTATCAGCTTTTTTTTTTTTGACGCCAGGACGCTCACTGTCTGGTCAGGGCTGGCCAGGTTTCTCTGCGATATATTTGTGGTAATTACGGACTCTTCGCAGCCGTCGCCGCCAGCACCGTGTAGACACTAGCCAACACTGGGGCCAGCTCCTGCCACCGCAGAATGCACTAGCACGAGCCTCGGCATGTCACCTGCTAACTAACACCAACTATTAATCAAGGCCCTTCTCCGAGTTGGACCTTCCCCGGACTGCCTGCCTTAAGTTCGTCGCGTTTGCAAACGTCTGCGCTTTTGTGTCTCTCTTGTTTCTCTTGTGTCTCTCGTCTTTGTTTCTATTTTCGTCGTCTTCTCGGTCGCCTCAAACACAACCGACGCCTACCACCACCGACCGCCATCATGTCGTTCAAGTACATCCGCATCACGAAGCCGGCCGAGTACGTCGCTCATGTCGAGCTGAACCGCCCCGAAAAACTCAACGCCTTCATCCCGGACCTATGGCTTGAGCTCGGTCAGGCTTTTAAGCAGCTGTCGACGGACTCGGACGTGCGTGCCATTGTCCTGTCGGGTGCCGGCGACCGCGCGTTCACGACAGGACTGGACGTCGTCTCGGCGGGCCAGTGGTTCAGCGAGATGGGCAACCTGCCGGACACGGCGCGCCGCACGGTCTACATGCGTCGGCACATTCAGGGCATGCAGGACTCTCTGACTGCCATTGAGAAGTGCGAGAAGCGTGCGTTTGCTCCGTCCTGACTCGTTCTCTCTCTGTGTTGTCCTTTTATCATTTTGTTTCCTCGAAGATTCCGACCCACTAACTCTGCTGGCACTCCTTGTAGCCGTCATTTGTGTGATGCATGGCATCTCCCTCGGCATGGCCGTTGACGTGGCATGCTGTGCCGACGTGCGCATCTGCGCCAGCGACACGCGGTTCGCCGTCAAGGAGGTCGACATTGGCCTGGCCGCCGACCTGGGCTCGCTCGCGCGGCTGCCGCACATTGTGGCGTCGCAGTCGTGGGTGGCCGAGGTGTCGCTGACGGCACGCGACTTTTTGGCCGCCGAAGCCCAGGCGGTCGGCTTTGTGAGCCGCGTGCTGCCGGACAAGGCGGCCGCGCTGGCCTATGGTCTGCAGATGGCGACCCTGATCGCTGCCAAGAGCCCCGTTGCCGTGCAAGGCACCAAGGAGCTGCTGGTCCACGGCCGGGACCACACCGTTGATGATAGTACGTCCATCCCATCCTCCATTTTATACGGATATGATTTTCATACTAACACACACACTCACACAGCCCTCAAGTACACGGCCGTATGGAACGCGTCAGCCATCCAGTGCGATGACGTCCAGGTAGCTCTGATGTCGGGCATGCAGAAGACGAAGCCACACTTTTCCAAGTTATAGGCAGGCGGTGGTTGTCGCAGGAAAGCCACCGGGTTGTGTATAGATAGGAGGACCATGCATAAAAGCTTATAGATGTTTCAATCGATTATTTCTTGTCAAGAGTATTGAATTCGTGTCTGCCAAACGCCCTTTGCAAACAATGTAGCCCAAAACGCCGTCTGTGTCCGTTGTGCATCTCTCGCCTTTGTTCTAGTTCGAGTCGGACGCCTCCTCCTCCTGTTGGGTTTCTTTGAGGCGCTGGGCATGTCAGCATGCAAAGTACGCCTTTGCTAGAGAATCACCGAGAGCATCTTACCTCTCCCAACCTCCGCTTCAGAGTCTCCATCATGTTCTCGTTGATGACGAGGCGGTTCTCGTCCAGGTCCTCAATGATAAAGTCGTGACGCTCGCTGTCGATGTTGACGATAATGGCCTTTATTGCCGGGTCGCACTCGACCAGAACACCGCGGATAGCACGCACCATGGTTGCGAGCGAAGGGCGGTCGTCGTGTGTCGTTGGGGGAGCGACTGACAAAGTCGTGAACCAGAGGAGGGGAAGAAGGCTAGGAAACAGAAGCTTTGCTCTCAGCGTGGTGGAGGCTGACGAGGCAGAAAAGTGGGTCAAATATTTCAGCCGCCAGTCATTCACATGCTAATACGCGTTTAATCCGTGTGCTACATACAGCATAGTGTACACATGCTGAAGTTGGCCACTAGAACTTGCACGGGAGAAGGGCCATGCATGAAATTATCATGACTATGAGGTGGTTAAACATAAAGCACCTAGAAATACCCTTAAAACATAGATCCGTGTCCCAAACCTTGTAACAAAACCGAAAAATGCCTCTAAAGAGCATCTTGAAAATAAAAGAAACAAGATAAACCGTTTGGCTCCGTCATCCCGCAGGAACGCCTTTGTGATCCTCAACTCCCGGTTTCCCCGATCCTCCCGTGATGGTCGCAAAGATGTAGCCGTGAAAGAAATAAATACCAAAAAAGAAAGAACAGCATAAACTATCGTGGTCGCAGCATGGTATGTAGTGTCGTGGGTCGTGATTCTTCGTCGAAGATATGGGTTTGTGCCCTGCCGCTTGGGCAGACATGCCGGAGCAAGTATGTAGAGCAATGGTGGGTTGGTAGTAATTTAATTAGAGAAACGAGCCCTCGGCATCATCGCCGATCCCCGTGGCTCAAAGCTTCTCGTTCGCTGTAGGCAGGCGGTGATGTAGGTGGTTGGGCGCGGACTGCGGCGGACGGCGTCGAGGGCGATGACGACGATACCAAAGGTGACCCGCCTGCCCGTGATGTTGCCGCTCCCCCAGACTCACTGGACGCAGGCGAATGCGGCCTGGGTCGTAACGATGTCTCTTCTGCTGCTGCCATCGTCCCCTCTTCGAAGCTCCTGTTCGGCGCGATGGCCGACGTGCTCGTCCCCGAGCCCGTGCCCGGGCTCGAGCCAGATCTTGGCCGTACGTGCGCAGGCGCCGGCACAGAAACACCTTCTGCGACGGACGCCCGCTCGTCATGTTGTCCATCCTCGCCACTTCCCGTCATGGTCGCCTTCTTGGGTGCTTCATAGGGCGGCGGCGCTTCGCCCAGCTCGTTGAGACCTTCCATGCGGTGTGCATCGCGGGTGGTGTTTGCGAGGTCCGTCGTGTGCGCCCATGCCCAGCGGTTGGCAGTCCGCGGGCCGCGCCGGCCGTCACCAGGACGACGCGGCGCTGCGCTTATTCCGCGGCTATTGGCAGCAGCGCTGTTGTTGGTGCGGAAATACCGTCCCAGATAGATGTTCGGGGTATTTGACTCTGGGCCGGTCTGTGAAGCTCGTATGTCACGACGCTCGCTAGTTTCATTGGCACCATGGGGTCCCGTGCCGTAGCCTTCTTCGAGAATGTCACGCTCAAGCGCGAGGCGGCCCTGCTGGTTGAGAGAAAGTCCGTTCCGGCGCCGCCGGGCCCTCTGCCGCCGGGCTAAAAAGAAGACGGAGGCGAAGATGATGCCAGCCACGACACAGAGGGGCACGGCAACGCCAATCCACGTCTTCTGGGAGAACAAGGGGCTCTGGACGTCCCCGTCATCGTCGCCGTAATAGCTCATGGTTTAAGTGGTCCGCCCGTGGTCGGTGTTATAATAGACTCCCAGTGTGTTTTAAAAAGAAGTAGTAAGGAGACGGAGTTGATAGGTCGTCAAGATCAAACAGAACGGAAGTTCAGGGCAATCCTAGATGTCGTGTGTCGCCCAATAGTCAATCGTATGCAATGTGCGCAGTGTTGCAGCGTTGGTTGGATGGGAGAAAACGATGGGCTAGCGCATAGCTCTCTGTTCCGGGTTGAGACAGGTCATGTAGGAGAACGGGACGAAGGATACAAGAAAGGGGTCGTCGTTCGAGATGGCGGGCAGCTGAGGAAGGACAAGAAGAACCAGTCGTCGATGCGGTTCGGAAGAGAATAAAATAAGCGTCACGACGCAGTGGTCGGCTCGCGACAGGTTGGGCAAATCAGTCCGGAGGAGCACAGGCCGAGAGGAGGCTGCGTTACACAGGGCACAGAAATGCCGTGCTTTCTGTCTGGCCTTTCTCGCCTTCCTCGCCCTTGTCAGCGTGCCGTAGCCTTTGCTGAGGAGGCTGGGCTTTCCAGAGAACGGCGACAACTGGAAGGGAAATGTGCTCGGGCCGGGACTGGCGACGATCTTCAGGCGCCGGGAACACACATCTCCAACACCGCCTCGGTCGAGGCCAATATAAGGTGAGGTTAAGCTGAGAGGTGAAACAGAGTAGTAGAAAGGAAATGGGGAGAGGGCAGTATTTGATGACTTTAGTGGCCGACGAGAGCAACACACAGCAAGGGCGATGTCTCGAAAATCGAGATACGGAGTGCCTGTGCTTCTCCTTGCACAAACTCAGGTTTGGGCTCCTGCGTTCATGTCTCAAGGCTCGGGGTGTAAGGATGGATATGGGGAGTTGGTGACCGTTGACAATGGAGACGAAACTAGTCAAAAGCTATCCCTCTGCTCTGCACCTGCCCCCTGTCGTTTTGCGAGCTTTCCTGACGTTTTAGAACGAAATGCGCTGTACCGCGTGTGCATACAGCGGTGGCACAAAGACCGGCAGGCGCGGATTGCTGGTAGTTGGACTTGGTGGGGTTACTTCCGTTTTTGCTGAGTGTGATGGTGTGCCGAAGAGGGCCTGGCGTTATGATTTGGCTCCGGAACTGCCGGGAAGGGAAGGCGCAAGGCTTGTTCGTTGGTGGTGAGAAGAGGCTGGTATTGGCAGGCGCGGAGTGTTAGTGCGTTTGGCTGCCGTTGGTGGGGACGGAGAGTCCCTGAAGAATTGACATGTGTGGGAAAGAGCTGTGGGGCAAAGGCCTCAAGAATGAGACGTCAACTCAACGACCATACCATTACTGTAGGCGATACGTTGTATCTTACACGGGTTAAGAAATGCTGTGAGAGTGACACGGCACACAGTCAGCGTTGCAGTCCTACGGAGGACAGAGCATAAAGGACGAGGGTCGTCTCGGATGAGGACTGCATGATTCACTGATAGAATGGAGAGACAAGTCTCGGCTCATCGGTTTCGTTACCTGGCATCACTTTCATTTTATTGCTCCACTCATTGTGCCACCTGTTTACCTGTTCAAATGCGTACTTTTTAAATTTTGCTTGACATGATCACTGTCACATTCCCCCCTTTCGTTTTTAATGTCCTCCATATCTATTTTAGTCTTGCTAATGCCGCTTTTCACTACCCCACAAAAAGCCTCTCGTTTCTTATAATAAAACCTCCAGGTTGATCTCCATTGTGCTCACGGGGTATCTGGACATGTTAGTTTCAACTTGGTCATAGCGCAGTACAAAAACAAAAACCACGCAGAGGGGGTCCTACCTCAGGCCAAAGGCCTCGAGCACGGTTGGGTGCAGCACTCCCAGCTCGCCTATCCGCTGGGTCTTGCCGTTGAGCCGCAGGTAGATGGCCGCCGCGCGGCCGGGGAAGAAGGTCGGGTCATTGATCTCCTGGATGTAGTAGCCGTCTTGGGAGCCCGGCTTGGAGGATGTCGGCGTGGCAATGGCCGCAGCGGTCGCCTTGGCGGCCTCCAGGCCCTCCTCGCGCGTGATGAAGGCGCTGCGCAGCATCGCCATGACGCGGTCGAGCAGGCCGTGCACCATCTCGAACCCGGCCGACTTGGACGAGTAGGCGGCGGCCCAGTGGCGCTCGTTGCGGGCGTGGCGCTCGACCGAGTCGTCCTTGAAGGCGACGTCCGACACCTCGCTGATCATGAGCGGCAGGGCGACGCTCTTGTTCTCGCGGATGGTCTTGAGCAGGCCGGGCAGCAGCGACGTGCGCACAACCTGGTACTCGGTGGTCTTGGGGTTGGCCAGCTTGATGGCCGTGCTGCCGTCGTCCTTGCGGTTGAGCCAGCCAAAGTTCTCGTCGTGCGAGCACAGGATCAGCGGCATGACCTCGATCCAGCCGGCCATGGCGGCCTCGAGCCGCACAATGTCGGCGAGCTTGTTGATCAGCAGCGGCTGGCCAATGGTGGCCGACTTGTTGGGCGACGACCGGGGCAGCTTGTTGAAGCCGTACGCGACCGCGACATCCTCCATAATGTCGCAGGGGTGCAGGATGTCGGCGCGTGTCGGCGGCACGGCCACGTGCAGGATCTTGCCGTCGGCCGACGGCGTGGCATCAAAGGTCACCTTGGCCAGCAGCTTGACCAGTGCGTCCGGTGACTCCTCGAGGCCACAGCACTGGTTGATGTAGTCGACCTCGACGTCGACGTTGCGCGTGACGAGGCTCGGCGTGACGCGCGAGGCGCCGTTGTGCTCGGAGACAATACGCACGGGCTCAATGGTGTAGGGGTCGGCGCAGTAGCCGGAGAACATGGTGACCATCATGTTGCAGACAATATCGAGCTTGGTCTCGTCGGTGGCCGTGATCTCGATGAAGACGTTCTTGGTGTTGAGCGTGATCTTGGAGTGGTCGCCGTTGATGATGGGCGGCAGCGAGCAGACGACGCGGTTGGCGTCATAGATGACCGGGTAGACCTCCTTGTCGCGGATAATGTGCAGGTAGCGGCCGAGGTGCTTGTCGGACTCGTAAAACGCCATGAGCTCCTTGCCGTTCATCTTTTTCGTCTGGTTGAGCGGGATGAACGAGATGTCCTCGGGCTTGGGCGCTTCGTACGTGAAGGGGCCCTTGATCGTGTCGAGGTCATGTGTGCCGATGGAGACTCTGGATGGTTTGTCAGCTGCGAGTTCTCATGCAAGCCCAATCGCTGCTTCGTCTCCTACGCCTTGACCACCACTCACAGTGTTCTCTGGCGGGCCAGGTTCTGGTGCAGCTTGTCCTGCAGGCTTATGAACGAGTCGTAGGTGGCCTGGGTGAAGTTGATGTTGCGCAGAACGGCGCCAGCAACGAGCGGCCGCACGCGCGAGGTGTCCTTGCTGACGGTGATGGTCTGCATCTGGGCCTCGGGGATGTCGAGCAGGCGGAACTTGGGCATGGCAATCTTGCCGCGGAAGACGTTGAGGTTCATGGCAATGCCCTCGAAGCACAGCATGTCGTAGCGGTTGGCGCCGATCTCAATCTTGAGCTCCGGCGGCTCGTCGGCCGGTCGTGCCGGGTCATCTTCGGTGTCCTCGTCGACCTCGACGCCGAACTCAAAGGCCAGGTCCTGGAACTCATCAGGCGTGAAGCTGGGTTGTGGATTTGTGTTAGCGCCGTGTCTGGTCTTCCTTGTCCCCTCGTGAGGACCCAATCCACTCACGTCTGGCCCAACTCCTTGAAGAGGCGGTATTTGTCGACGCCAATGGTCGGCATGGCGGCGGTATCGAGGGGTTTTGCGGAGGTGTGGGCGAAGAAACGTCGGCCACGGTCTGGTGGGCTAGCAGAAATGTGCGCAGAGCAGCACGTTTGGAGAAGAATGGCTGCACGAAGTGTTACGATGCTTTGCGAGTGTCGGTTTCGGCGATGCGTTTTGACTCATACGGAGTACCAGCAAAATTCACATTCTGGCGCAAATGCTGCCAAAACCCGCCTAAACAGAAAAATTATTGGCCAAAGCGAGTGGTCTGGCTATGTTCCCCACGGTCGCACTTTCCCACTTGCGCCAGAGTAGTGAGGGGTGGCCCAGCCTGGTGGCAGAAGGGACGATTGGCCCACAGTTCGCAGCCGCGCCTGTTGGCCCCTTGCCAGGAACAGATGGAGCAACGCAGCGTTGCAATGTGCAAGGCAGGAACACAGGGTTTCTGCCTAAGGCGCCGACGGCTGGCACTGGGCAGGTGCGACCAAAGCGAAAGAGACCTCCACTTCAGTTACAGGCTCAATGCAACAGAGACAGAGACTGCCATTTGCGTGTGAAATTATATTGTTCTTGTCCGATCCGATTTCTTTTTGTTCTGACGTATTTCCCGTTAATTCCCAATATGTTGGCACTTTTGTTTTCATTTTGTATACCCCATGCAGTGGTAGTCCTTTCTCTCGCGCACTTCACAAGAAATTTTGATTCGCGGTCGCCTCGATCTCGAATATTTTGTTGATATTGACATTTTAATGCTTGAAATTTTGACGGCCAAAGGTCACAAAGAGAGGCAGACGCTTTATTGCCGTCAACCGACAGGTCGTATCCCTGTATGCTTCCATACCTACAGCTGTCTAGGTCTGACAAAACACCTCGATTGTGTGATGCCAAGACTGCGCATCGACCGCGCTTTGTCTCGATTCGGACGCGAGGCTGCGTCGATCCCCAAGATGTCGTTTGTCGTCTTGTGTGTGTTTGCTGCAAGGTCCCCCATCAATCCCACGTTCTCCACTTGCTCGCACGCCTTAGTTGACAGCCGCACGATGACACAATCCAGGTCAGCGAAGAGGCAATGCTTGCATCGTCATTTCCGCACGCTTTCATTTCTGTGTATTTTGCGTGTAATTCTGTGTCCTGCCTCTGGGATCAGCCACTTCGACGTGGCCTCATACTGGCTTAAAATGGGGAATGCGGTGTCCAGGTTACGGTTTGGGAAGGATGTGCAATCTTGGCAGGTCCCATCAAAAGCAGAAATAAGCTTTACATGGTCGGCGAGCTGCTCAAGTCGGACGCCAAACACGAATTGGTATATGCGCCGGAGAACAACAGAATGATTGAGAAGCAGCTACCTACGTAATAGCAAACCCACAAAGGTAAAGACGTGCCGTTGCGCCACCCGGCTGCCGGCAAATCACAGCTCGCTCGTCGGGGTCCAGCACGGCCAAGGTGCAGATTAGCCTGCAAACTGCAAGCCGTGATGGGGGTGCCGCGAGGAGGGGTGCGGTGGATGGGACGAACAAGCTTGATGGGAGCTTGCGAAAGCGTAGGAAAGCTTATTGACAAATAAAGGCGTGGTCGAACGCCACAAACAGATATATAAACATCAGCTTGTCCCTCTCCTGGTGGCTTGGCCATGATGCATTCACAACCTCTTCGTTCTCTTTGTAGGCTCTCTGATAGACCTTTGTGTGCTTTACTCGTTTTCAGTCCCCAGTTTCCTCATTCACTATGAAGCTCAGCGTGCTGTCCGTCGCTCTTGCCGCATCGAGCGTCGTGGCCCGCTCGCTTGAGGCCCGTTCCGTCAAGCCGCAGCCTGAAGACGGATCCGGAAAGGGCGCCCCGATACTCGGCGGCACCAACGCCGCTCTCGACGCCCAAAACCCGGACAACCTCGGCGAGCTGCCCACCAGTGACGCCGGCACCGTGCCCAACCTTAAGTGGAGCTTCTCCGACTCCAAGACCAAGCTGTTCAAGGGCGGCTGGACGCGCGAGACCGTCGTCACCGACCTGCCCTCGAGCAACACCGTCGCCGCCGCCCAGCAGCACCTGACCAAGGGCTCGCTGCGTGAGCTGCACTGGCACCGCGTTGCCGAGTGGGGCATTGTCTATGCCGGCGCCATCCTCCTCTCCGCGGTCGACGAGAATGGCCAGTACCAGGTCGAGCGCCTCGAGTACGGCGACATCTGGTACTTCCCCAAAGGTGTCGCCCACACCGTCCAGGGCCTCGAGGACCAGAACGAGTACCTGCTCGTCTTTGACGACGCCGACTTTGACAAGGTCGGCACCACCTTCATGGTCGACGACTGGGTCGCACACACGCCCAAGAGCATCCTGGCCAAGAACTTTGGCGTCAACGAGTCCGTCTTCGCCAACGTGCCGACCACCGACCCGTACATTATCAACGCCACTGTTTCGGCGGCCAATGACTCCGTCGCCAACCCGCCCTCGCTCGGCAGCAATGTCAACGCGTCCACCACGTACGTGTACCGCACGTACCAGCACGAGCCTGACTCCACCCCCGGCGGCGGCGGCTCGCTGTACAAGGTCGACTCAACCAAGTTTCCCATTGCCAAGACCATTGCTGCCGCCATCGTGACCCTCAAGCCGGGCGGTTTGCGCGAGATGCACTGGCACCCGAATGTGAGCTCTCTCTTTCTCTCGATCTCTGTGTCTCCTCTGTTTTTTTTTTCTCTCGTTTTGGGCTGTCACCGACGTCGACCCAGATTGACTAACACGCTCAGGCCCAAGAATGGCTGTACTTCCACAACGGCACCGCCAGGGCCACCGTCTTCATTGGCGGCGGCAATGCCCGCACGTTCGACTTTGGGCCTGGCGACACCGCTGCTTTCCCGGACAATTCGGGGTGAGTGCTTCTTTTGTCGTCGCCGTTGTTGCCGTTGTTGCTAACATCTGCAGACACTATATTGAGAACACTTCCGAGACCGATGACCTCGTTTGGATCGAGATCTACAAGTCGGACCGCGTCGCCGACATTTCGCTGACCCAATGGCTGGCCCTGACCCCCGCCGACATCGTTTCCCAGACCCTCAAAGTGCCTCTGAGTTTCGTCAACCAGCTCAAGAAGGAGAAGCAGGTCCTTCTGCCGTAGGCATGCGGCAGGCAGGGGTAAGAGGAGAAATCCAAAACGTGTAATTGGAAAAGTGCTGGGTTTTGTGTTGTAGAAATTAGTTACATAGAATGTTGGCTCTTGTCGCACAGATACAGTCTCGGCGATGACAGAAGTGACAAGTCAAAAGAGTAACGAAGCACAAGACAACATACAACGAACACACACGGATGCCCTCTGGCTAAACGAACGCAAGCCATGACTTCTCTTTTGAAATCCTCTTTGATTGAATAAAATGACGAAACGGGGCCTCCCTTTTCTGGACAAACAAGCCATGTATGCTCCTTTCCGATGATTCTTTTTTTCCATGCACGCACGCACAGCTCAGCTCTGTTGCAAATAACTCAGTGATGGGGCCGATAAAACGCAAGTGTGAAATAGATGATGCTGGTCCGGCCTTCCAAGAAACTCCACTAAAAACCAAATTATAAAAACGGACGTACGAAATGAAAAGGAACGAAAACGAAAGAGCAACATACAAGAACAACAGAAAACTCCGTAGAAAACATATGCAGGTCTCGCAACATTAAATAGTGTAGGGAATAAGGTACAAGGTGAGACAATATAGACGAAAAATGGAGGGGGAAATGGGGAAATGGTAAGGGCTTGGAGAGGCAGGTGATACTAAAAACAAACTCAATCGTCGATGCGCATCGTTGTCGACTACTTTTTGTTGGACGCCTTGTGCTCCTCGAGCACCTCGGCAAGCTTCTGGGCCGCCTCCTTTGTCTTGACCTGGAGCATCCACGTCTCCAGGCCGTTGCCGGCCTCGTTTGAAGTTGTCAACTTGACGTATTTGGCGTTGGGTTCCGGCTTGTAGGTAAAGTCGGGGAGGAGCGCTCGGTTCAGAGCCACGTGTCCGCGCGGCTCGGCCCGCAGCAAAAGACGAATGTGGCCGGTCGTCTTGTTCTTGAGCACGCGGAGCGGGCCCACACCTTCCGTCTTCCACGGGCTCTTTTTCTCCTTGGCCGCGGGCGATTCGCTTCCCGAGTCGTCATTGCCGGTCGAGAGTCGGAGGGCCTTGGCACGCACCTCATGGACGGCGGCCTCGTCCTCCTCGCCCGGCCCGCCGTCGGTTAAACTGATTTGTTCCTGTGGGGCCTCATCTCCGTCAGCCTGGTGTCCAGAATTATCCGTATTGTCTTGCGTGGCACCAGGCTCGGGAGTGCCAGAGGCCGGTGTAGTAGCCAGGCTAGAGGCGCCACCGAGATTGGTGAAGGGGGTGTCTAAGTCCAGACGGTCAACGGATGTTCCTCTCCTCTTGGAAACGCGATGGTTGGGTCTGATATGAACTTACTAGTACCTGATGATGCTCCGCCCAGAGGTGGGGCGAGATTGAACATTGGCGCGCCAGCAGGCTTCTGCTGGCCAAAGAGCGGCGTGCTGCTTGCTTGGGCCGGCGTTCCGCCGCCGAAGCTGAAGATTGCCGAGCCGTTGCCGGCAGAGGGTGCGCCGCCGCCGAAGCTGTTGCCCGGCGTCGTCGCAGGCTCCGTGGTCTGGGAACCACCGCCAAAGGAGAAGAGTCCACCAGCACCGCCAGTGCTTGCAGTCGGAGTGGCAGCTGGCGCGCCACCACCAAACTGGAACATGGACGTGCTTGGTGTGGACGACTGGCCGTCAGCGCCACCGGCACCAAAGCTGAATGACGACGGTGGTTGGCTGGCAGCGGACGAATCAGCACCCGATGCGAATGGGTTGCGGAAAGGCTGGCTGGCACCGCCTGCGCCTCCAGCGTTGAAAGTGAATGACGAGCCTCCCGAACCAACAGAGCCGGCGTCGCTACCGCCGCCAAAGCTGAAACCGGTTGAGGGAGCAGGAGCTGAGCTCTGCTGCGGCTGGGTGCTAGACGCGCCGAATGAAAAGATAGCGCCTCCAGACGGCTGGGCAGCAGGCGTGGTGGCATTGTTTCCGCCAAAACTGAACGACGGGGTAGTCGCCGCGGTGGCCGCAGGCGCCGTAGCTGCCGTAGAAGGCGTGGAGTTACCGAACAGACTGGGGGACTGCGTCTGTGGGGCCTCTGTAGCGCCGCCAACGGGGGCGCTGCCAAAGAGAGGCTTATTCTCCTGCGCCTTCGACGTCGCGCTGCTGGAAGACTTGTCTGCATCCCCGTCCGTCTTGGAAGCACCAAAGGAAAACAGAGGGGTCGAGGATCCAGGCGCCGCAGGGCCACTTGATGAAGCGCCAAACATGGTCTTCTTTGACTGCGGTTCGTCGCTGGCGTTGGAGTCACCGCTCTTCACCGCATTTCCAAACAGAGAGGGTGCAGCCTTCGGCGCAGAGTCCTCATCAGCAGACCGTTTCTGGCCAAAGGAGGGCGTGTCTGTCTTAGTAGCATTGCCAAAGAGCGTCTGCGAGGCACCAAAAGCAGGTGCAGAGGAAGGTGTGGTGGATGGAGTCTTGCCGAACAGGGTCGCTGGGCCAGTCGCCGGCGTGGCGGCAGCACCAAACAGAGAGCCGGTCGAAGAAGACGCTGGTGCCTTTGTGGCCGACGCACCGAAAAGAGACGGAGACGAAGAGCCCGTTTCAGCAGACTTGTTCGAAAATGCGAACAAAGGCGGTGCGGCAGCTGCGGGGGGAGCGGATGTCGACTCCTTGGAGCTGTCTGCCGGGGCTTTGTCATCAGCGGCCTTGTCATCAGCTGGCTTCTCGGAAGCAGCAGGTTTCTCTGTAGCCGGTGCCGTCGCACTGCTAGCGGGAGCGGCCGCGGTGCCAAACTTAAAGGGAGACGAAATGGCGGCGCTGCCGCCTGCCGCCGCAGGTGTGGTGGAAGTAGCGCTGCCAAACAGAGGCTTGCCTGGCGTTGTCGAGGCACCGCCGGCAAATTTGATTGGGCTATCCGGCGTCCACGTCTTGTTGGCACCGCCAAACAGCGACGACGTTGCCGGCTCCTTTTCTGGACTGGCACGCTCAGAAGTGGGCTTACTGCTAAAGAGGGGTGTAGCCGAAGACGCGGCCGCAGGTGCTGACTGGAAAGACGGGGAAGAACCATCGTTGCCACCAAACATACGGATCGGCTGTCCGTCCGAGCCCTTGTTCACACGGTCGAAGAGACTGCGGCCAGGCGTGGCATCCGAAGCCTCAGACGAGCTGGCAGAGGCATTCTGCGAAGAAGCGGCGAGCAGGGGGTTGGCCGACTTGGGGGCAAAAAGAGATGCAGAGGGTGGCGCAACAGATGCACTTCCACTGACGGAAGCACTCTGGTTGTCACTGCCCTCTTGGGCTTCAGATTCGTCCTGGGCATCGGCGTCAGAATCGTCCGTATCCTCGCCATCCGCATCCGCGTTATCGTTGCCGCTGCCCTTGGCGGAGCTGGCGTCTGACAAATAACCAAAGATATTGCTGTTCTGTGCAGCACCAGATGCAGATTTCAAGCCGCTCTCCAGGACCGACCGAGCCAAACTACCGTTCGTAGAAGGCTTCGTGGACGATGCTAGGGCGCTGGACTTGAATGGCGAAGTCGTGTTTTTGGTACCGAAGGGGCCATCGAGCGAGGGCTGGGTGACCTTGATCGTAGGGGTACCGGCTGCCGAAGATTGTGCAGTCTCCTTGGCAGGCGAGTTTGCAACCTTCTCGAAGAAGGCCTTGGTAGCCGATGGCGTAGATGAAGGCGTACCGGCGGGCGTCGGCTTTTGCTGCTTGGCACGCTGGAGCTGGTCCACGCCCTCGCCTCTCGTAGCCTTCCGCTTTGTCTTGTTAAGTGAAGGGGTGCTTGACTCGAGGAGCGGCTCGCGGTCAGCGGCTACTTTGGAGCCATCGGCACGCGTCCGCTTCTTGGCAGGCTGGAAGGTAGACGCGTTGGATGTCGTGGCGTTCGGGTCAATGTTGTCTTGTGCCTTGCGCTTTCCAGTGCGTAGGATGCCCTCGGTGCCATTGGGCTTCGACGACGACCTCGCCGACTTGGACAAGTCGGCCGGGTTGACCATGAGCTCCTCCTCGTCCTCTTCACCAGGCACGCTAGGGATGTTGTGGTCCTGTTTCCACTTCGTAAAGGTGTCCTTGGACACCTTGACCGTCTTGAACTCGTACAGACCATAGCGGAGCATGATAAGGCTCCGGTTCTTCTCGTACTCCTTTGCAAAGTTTGAAATGTTCAGCTTCCAGTCCTTCTTCAAAAACACCTCATCGGCGGCGTATTTGAGCCGGCGAAGATCCAGGATACAAAAGAACTGGTTGCGCTGCTCCTCGTTGAAGTCGGGCGGGCACAGGTGCGCCAAGAATTCGTTGGCATACACGGACTGGCCGCCGGCTCTCAGATCGCTCGGGAGCATGTCGGTCATTGCCTCGGCGCTCAGCTTCGGGTCGGGGTCGGGGATCTTCTGCTGGAAAAGTTCGCTCGACGTGACCTTGGCCATCTCGCGCGCGCTCAGCTCAGCACCAGGAGCGCGATGTGACCGGCCAGGCGTCGTTGCGGGAAAGCTGCCACGCAGCGTGTTGACAGGGACGCGCGGTGTGAAAGTGAAGGCGGGCATGTCGCGGGCCATTGAGTCGCGGAACATGTTGCGTGGTGTCGTTGCGGAGGAGAAGTTGGTTCTCCGCGGTGTCGAGGTCGGTCTGCCCAGGCTGCTGCTCGAGTAGAGGTTGTGGCTGTTGCCGTAGGAGTAGGTGTTGGAGGGGTTGCTGCTTGCAGTGTTCGAGGACGTGCCAAGACGGCCGGACGGGCCCTGAACGCGGTCATGGATTTTCCGCTGGGCCAATTGCGTCGGAGAGGCGCGTTTGGCAGGGCTTTCGGGGGACTCGACAGGTGGTGCAGAAAAGGTGCCCGAGTAGCGTGCTGGCGTAGCCTGCTCGTCTGGCCGCGCCAGGCGGATGCGGGACGATGCACGATCGCCGTTCACGAGGTTCGTGCTCGTCTTCGGGGTCGGCGTTGCGGCGGACGTGGTTGTGGCCTCCCGAGAAGAATTGCGGCCGGCGCTGACCAGGCCCGTCAGGCTGCTAAACCAAGACTTTGGCCGCTTCTGAGGGGTCTCCATGATGATGGCTGATCTGCTCCGTTGGGACGATCGATGACAGCGACGGTTTTGGGAGGGTAATTAGGCTTCAGAGCAGGCAGAAAATGAAGCTCAAATGGAATGCATCGACACTGTGGCGCGAGCTCTGCGTGTATTAAAAAGGGGTGCGATGAAAGAAGAAAAACAAAAACAAATGCACGTGGAGAAATGAAAATTCAAAAGGAGAGGATGCGCCTGTCGATGCGTGGCGACGGGCGACGAAAAGGAGAAAGGGGGAAAGTCGCGTTGATGGATATCGCGATGGGCAGATGCGTGAAAGTCGCGACTGGGGGAGGAAAAAATTTGGAGGCCAGAAAATATTGATGATGTGGCGCGTGCAGCGCACCAGGGGGGGCGCTACAAGAAGGAAGGAGCGAACAAGGGCATTGACAGAAAGTGGAAGGAACGCGCAGTGAAAGAGAAGGCGCTAACCAGTGTGTGGACTAAGAACTGTGTGGAGGGAAGGAACAGGACGCAAACCAGCCCAATCGGTTGGGCTGGGACGAGCTCCAGTACGTCCGCTTAGTTGCATAGAAACTGGTATGTAGGAAAGCGATAGTGCGACTCCGGCAGACGTGCTCCCTCCGCAGTGCGCACGCGCTTTGCTTTACGGATGCTGCAGCGTGTCTGACGCCGGCAATTTGTCAACTGGACGTCGTTCACTACCCGCCAATGAATATTGGCGCTGTATATTCACAGATTTTCACGCTCTGCACAACGAATTGTTTCTCTAGAATAGTGAATGTGTGAACACGTAAACATTAGTATCGCAGTTTCCCTAGTCGTTTGCCCCAGTTCGCGAAGCACCACGGTAAAACGATTACTAGAAGGAAACTGCGACCGGAAACACAGCTTCAGATGCGCAGGTTTGGAGTCAAAGAAAGCCGAACAGGGCAGGACGGGTGCCAGCGGTTGATTTGCCGGGAGCGCCTGCCTCGTGAAACACCCCGAGCAAGAGCAACAGACCGGTGCCGACTAGCGACGACCTATGAGCCACGAGCCACGAACCGCGAGCCACCGCTGGCTACAGCATTGTTCTGTCGTAATTTCCCGAATCCATGACATGCATCCGCAGAGCATCAGTACGGCAGGTGGCTCGGCTTCCAACTGCCCGTCCAGGTCGGTCGTTGCCCAGGACGGCAGGAGCAGCAACTGGACGGAACTATGAAGCGACGACACGAAAATAAGAAGGAACGCTATTGCCCTCACCGTCCCAGGACGACGGGAAAACGCCATGTACACAGTAGCAACTGCAGCAGATTGTGGCGCGCGTGGGGTTCTTCGGGTAGCTGTTCTCCAAAATTGGGAAAGAGCAGTCGTGCACGAGCCAGGGAGACGAGAAGATCGCAGTAACAGGTGACCAGGAGCAGGGAGAAGCAGGAAAAGCAGGCCATTGGTAAGGGGACTTTCGGGACATGTTAGTGTGCAATGCCGCCGAACAAGCGCTAATTTCGCAAAGCCTCGGGCATCACCACAGGCATTGGCATAGGCATGCGCTACGATTGGCCACTGGCAGCAATTCGTGCGTCCAGCTTCCGGCTCTGGGACGGTCTTTCCTGATAGGCGCATGACGCAGTAAAAGGCAAGAAGGGGCACGCACCCGGGGGGGAGACAAGAGGCAGGAGCGTGTTAGTCCGGACTTCGTCACTGGAATTGCTCTTCCTCTTTTCGTCAGACAAAGCCCCTCCTTCTTACCTTGGCACTGGGTCTTGGGTCATGTTTGTTGCAAGGTTGTTATAAAGAGCTTCGGCCATCCACTCGCTGCTCCGTAGCTCCAATTGACGGTTTTTTGCCTCAATCCATATCGTCTCTTTTTATCCCTCGTTTCTCGCTGAAATACGCATCGTTTGCTGCTGCCCCACCCCCAGCGAAATCTCCAGATCCAGTCAACTATATATATTTTCGTGCCCCTCTTAGCACCTACTAACCCCTCTCTCCCTTTGTGAACAAACACTAACAACACCTCCCATCAACGAAGCAGCCCTCGCATCACCACCCCCAATTCGCTCCAACACCGCAACCATGGGCATCCTCAGCGACCTCAACCTCAAGCCGGGCGTCATCTACGGCGATGACGTGCTGAAGCTGTTCCAGTACGCCCAGGAGAAGCAGTTCGCCATCCCGGCCATCAACGTCACCTCGTCGTCTACTGTCATTGCTGCCCTCGAGGCCGCCCGTGACGCCAAGTCGCCCATCATCCTGCAGACCTCGCAGGGCGGTGCTGCCTACTTCGCCGGCAAGGGCGTGGCAAACAGCAAGGAGAAGCAGGAGGCGTCTGTTGCCGGTGCCGTCGCTGCCGCCCACTTCATCCGCTCGATTGCCCCCATCTACGGCATCCCGGTTGTTCTGCACACCGACCACTGGTAGGTCGTTTGTTTTTGTGAACTTTTGTTTCCATTTTGTCTTTTGTTTGCCCTATCGTGCAGTCGACTAACAATTTCGGATGACAGCGCCAAGAAGCTCCTGCCCTGGTTCGACGGCATGCTCGACGCCGACGAGGCCTTCTTCAAGGAGCACGGCCATCCCCTGTTCTCCAGCCACATGCTCGACCTGTCGGAGGAGCCGCTCGAGGAGAACATTGAGATCACGGCCAAGTACTTCAAGCGCGTGGCGCCGTGGAAGCAGTGGCTCGAGATGGAGGTCGGTCTGACCGGTGGCGAGGAGGACGGTGTCAACAACGAGGACGTCGACAACGCCGCCCTGTACACGCAGCCCGAGGACGTCTGGCAGATCCAGCAGACCCTGAGCGCCATTGCCCCCTACTTTAGCATTGCCGCTGCGTTCGGCAACGTCCACGGTGTCTACCACCCTGGCAACGTGCGCCTGCACCCCGAGCTGCTGGGCAAGCACCAGGCGTACGTCTCCGAGAAGCTCTCGGACAAGTCGGGCAAGCCCGTCTTCTTCGTCTTCCACGGCGGCTCCGGCTCGTCCAAGAAGGAGTTCAGCGACGCCATCTCGCACGGCGTCGTCAAGGTCAACCTCGACACCGATCTGCAGTGGGCCTACCTGGTCGGCCACCGCGACTACATCACCAAGAACATTGACTACCTGAAGACCCAGGTCGGCAACCCCGAGGGCGCTGACAAGCCCAACAAGAAGAAGTACGACCCCCGCGTGTGGGTGCGCGAGGGCGAGAAGACCATGAAGGCCCGTGTTGAGGAGGCCCTCAAGGACTTTGGCGCCGCTGGCCAGCTGTAAGGAAGAAAAGAGGCATTCATCTGAATTTTGCTCTTTTTCCTTTTTTTTTTGTGTCCAGGCTTGTTGGCGGTTTCTGTAAGGCCCAGTGATCCTTTGTATTTCACTCATATATTTGTGGGATCAAACCAATGAAAAATAATAATAAAAATTCTACCTTGCAGCATTCTCCTGATCCGTTTATCAATATCCCGCGGTGCTTGAGTGGCCTGTCGAAAGCCAGTCAACCATTCTGCATTTGAAAATCGTGCATATTGGATGCCGCCGATACTGTAACAGTAAGGCCGTTGGATTTGGCACTGTACCTCTGCCGTTTTGAACTGTCAACTCGCGGAAAAGTGTACCGGATGTTGGGAGATTTGTCAATTACGGGCACGGTTTGAATTGTGGTATGCACTGTGCAAAAGCCATGTGGCCCCCACTCTCACAAGTAAGAGTCTCGTCAAAACGCGCATAGAAAGGCGCATAGCGCCAATTCCAAGACACGATCGCTGAGTTGCTCGCTGTTGTCAGCAACCAGTCCGTTTGCGACAATGTGCGGCGTCATCGCATAATCGCAAAAGCGGTCACCGTTGCAGAAAAAGATACGAAGTATTCATATACAGAGTAGGTGCAAGGTATTTGTTTTTGATAGGTCTAGCAAACGATACTCGAAAAATATACAACGGCTGTCGGCGGTGGTTTCCGCCTCAGCATGGTAACAATAAAAGATATTACAGGCACCGCCCAAAAGGCAGGCAATTAAAACCCGTCCCGTTCCCAATCCGCCCCTCAGGGCAAGGCGTCACCAGTTGCATCCGACCCAAACGCCGGGACAAACAGTCCACTTGTCCGTCTTGGCGTCTTTGTAGGATGAGACGCTGAGATGCTGTTCTTTTTTCCTTGTTCGTATGTCGGGAATCAATCGGCTGATTTACAACTTCGCCTTGGACCGGGACTTGTTGAGAATGGGCTCCAGCTTGGCAGCCTTCATAACGTTGCCCTTGATCTTGAGCTTGCCGGACATGAACAGACCCTGGGCCTTGGCCTTGCCCATGACGAGCTTGCCAAAGTCCTCGTCAGAGAGGCGGAGCTCGACTGCGGATGTGTTAGCGAAAGCGAGACAACAAAGGTAAAACAAAAGGCCGGCGACCTAAAAAAGTCCCCGGGTATCCGAAGCGATCCGGGGGTAGAACCTACCATCAGACTTGTCGAGGCCCTGGACGACCTTGCCCTCCTTGGCGAGGTCAATGAACCAGCTCTCGGTCTCGCCGGCAGGGTTCTTCAGGGTGATACCGAACACGGCCTTGCCGTTCTTGATGGCATCCTTGCGATCGGCCTCGCTGTTGCTAAGGACGTCGTTGATGGCATCGAAAGCCACGGAGGAGGGGAACTTGTCTATGTGCCGGGGGCGCATGTCAGTATGCTGCATTCTTCGCGCAAAAAAATAGGGTGCGCAGTGCCTGCAGTCTCACCGCCATCGGCGGCGCATCGCAATATCGTCCACCTCCCAAAACTTTTGCGAAATGGAGAGGGCGACCAATGACTTACCGTTGGAGATACCCATTTTGAATGTAGTCGTGTGACGGTGATGATGCAAAAAAATGCGGATAGTGCGGAGATAAATGCGTATGCAGTCAAGCTCGTTGGCTGGGAATACAAAAGTTTGGATGCGATGAAATGAGGTTGAAAATAAAATAAAAAAGAAAAGGGAAGAAAAAGAAGGGGGAAAGGGAAAGGGGAAAGAAATAATAGATCTTGGGAAACTACGTTTGGTTATGTAGTCTGGCAGGGAAGCCCCCATCCTTCCCCGTTCGGCATTCTGGGGTATGCTATGATGACGCTTGAATCAGCACAACAGCAGCATGTGAACCTCGGCGAGACGATCTTGTCATGTGTGCCTGCAGTTTTGGGGCCTTTGGCCCCAACTTTGCTCGCAAGCTTTACTGAATGGGGTTGCTGGCTTTCTGCGACGGTAGTGCCTCTCCACCTATTTGGCCCGCTATGGCAGTGCGGGTTGGGCGTTTGCCATCCGCCTGTGGGCCGCAGTTGCCAAGCTAGCAAATCAAATTGGCAGTGCCCATGACCAAGGATCGGAGGAAGGCACGACATAACTAAGTCATTACAGGGAGAACCAAAACCGGAATCCGATTTGGTCACGTGCGCAGGCCAGAATTCGCACTTGGGGCGAAAAGTGCGACCGAGATCTGAAAGCTCCCCTCCTTCCACACTGGCCACTCACAGCGCACGTCAGCCTTGTCCGCTAGCGCCGAGTTTTGCTGGAAGCTTTTTCGCAGAAGCGTGGCGCGTCCACAACGTCCCAGGCACAGGCATAGGCACAGGCACAAAAGCGGCCCGCACATCCCCCACGTCTTGTCAGAACTCAACACGCTGGTCTGTCGCAATGGATGATTTATACGACGAGTAAGTAGCCCAGCTCTCCAACACCATGCGTCTTACTTTGCTAATGCGCCCACCAGGTTTGGCAACTTCATCGGCGAGGAGCCCGAAGCTTCGGACGAGGGGTCGGAGCAGGGCGACGCCGATGCCGACAACTACGTCTACGGGGATGACGAGGAGGTAGGCGAGGATGGCGTGGGACAGGAACTGATGGAGGTGGACGGTAGGTTTGCCCGTATTTCCGGCCAATGGGGAGAGTGGAGAGTGGGAGAGAGGGGGGGGCCGAATGTGTTTGCTGACATGTTTCTGTTTCGCTGCCTCTAGATGAAGGACCGTCGAACGCCGTCATCCTGCACGAAGATAAACAGTACTACCCGACTGCCGCACAAGTATACGGGAGCGAGGTGGAGGCGCTGGTGCAGGAGGAGGATGCACAACCGCTTAGCGAGCCGATTGTGGCGCCGGTCGAGCAGAAGAAGTTTGTCGTTGAGGAGGCGGACCTGCCGCCCGTCTTTTTCGACCGCGGGTTTATGGCAGACCTCATGAACTTCCCCGAGCAAATACGAAACGTGGCCTTTGCGGGCCACCTGCACCACGGCAAGACGGCGTTTGTGGACATGCTGGTGCTCGAGACGCACGACATTGGCGAGCGGCTGGAGCAGCGGTCCGGCCGGAGCCGCGACGAGCAGCTGCGGTACACGGACGTGCACGTGCTGGAGCGAGAGCGTGGCGTGTCGACGCGGAGCGCGCCCATGAGCCTGGTGCTGCCGTCGACCAAGGGCAAGTCGCACCTCATCAACCTCATCGACACGCCGGGCCACGTCGACTTTGCCGACGAGGTGGCGTCGGCGCTGCGGCTCGTCGACGGCGTGTGTCTCGTGGTGGACGTCGTGGAGGGCGTGCAGCTGCACACGGAAATGGTGGTGCGGCACGCGATGCTCGAGGGCCTGCCGCTCACGCTGATTGTGAACAAGGTGGACCGGCTGATCCTCGAGCTCAAGCTGCCGCCGACGGACGCGTACTACAAGCTCAAGAGCACGATCGAGGCGGTCAACAAGGTAATTTTCGAGACGCTGCCGGGCGAGACGGACGACCGCAAGCGCGTCAGCCCCGAAAAGGGCAACGTGCTCTTTGCCTGCACGGACATGAAGTGGTGTTTCACGCTGGCATCGTTTGCCAAGATGTACGCCGACAGCTTCGGCGCCATGGACACGGGCGAGTTTGCCAAGCGGCTGTGGGGCGACGTCTTCTTCAACCCCAAGAAGCGGTCGTTTACGCGCAAGGCCGTCGAGGACAACGCCAAGCGCTCGTTTGTGCACTTTGTGCTCGAGCCCATCTACAAGCTGTTCACGCACACCATCAGCGAGAACCCGCAGGACCTCAAGGCGTTTCTGGCGCCGCTCGGCATCGCCCTCAAGCCGTCGCAGTACAAGGCGGACGCCCGTGTGCTGCTCAACTTGGTGTGCGCCCAGTTCTTCGGCCCGCCCGCCGCCTTTGTCGACATGGTCGTGGCGCACGTCCCGTCGCCGGTCGAGGCGTCCGCGCGCCATCTGCAGCGGTACTACACCGGCCCGCTCGACACCAAGGTGGCCGAGTCGATCGGCGCCTGCGACCAGGACGGCCCGCTGGTGATGGAGGTCACCAAGCTGTACAGCGCGCCAGACGCCAAGAGCTTCCACGCGCTGGGCCGCGTGTTCAGCGGCATTGCGCGGCCCGGCACAGAGGTGCGCGTGCTGGGGGAGGGCTACTCGCTGGACGACGAGGAGGACATGGCGCCGGCGCAGATTTCCGACGTGTGGATCCCGGAGACGCGCTACAACGTGCCGACCGATGGCGTGCCGGCAGGCAACTGGGTGCTGCTGGGCGGCGTGGACAACTCGATCGTCAAGTCGGCGACGGTGGTGGCGCGGCACTTTGCGGACGATGAGGACGCGTACATCTTCAAGCCGGTGACGCACTACACGGAGTCGGTGTTCAAGATTGCGGTGGAGCCGGTCAACCCGTCGGAGCTGCCCAAGATGCTGGATGGCATCCGCAAGATCAACAAGAGCTACCCGCTCATCACGACCAAGGTCGAGGAGTCGGGCGAGCACATCCTGATCGGCACGGGCGAGATGTACATGGACTGCGTGATGCACGACCTGCGGCTGCAGTATGCGGACATGGAGATCAAGGTGTCGGACCCGCTGACGCGGTTCTGCGAGACGGTGGTGGACGAGTCGGCCACGCGGTGCTGGACGCTGACGCCCAACAAGAAGAACCGGCTGACGATGGTGGCCGAGCCGCTGGAGGAAGGCCTGGCAGGGGACATTGAGTCGGGCGCCGTGCGCATCAAAGACCCCGTGCGCAAGACGGCCAAGTTCTTGCAGGACAAGTACGACTGGGATCTGCTGGCATCGCGCAGCGTCTGGGCCTTTGGGCCGGAGGAGATGGGCGCCAACCTGCTGCAGGACGACACGCTGCCGGGCGAGGTCGACAAGAAGATGCTCAACACGGTCAAGGAATCGATCCGGCAGGGCTTTAGCTGGGCCACGCGGGAAGGCCCTCTCTGTGAAGAACGTGAGTTGCCTGTTCCGCTCTTTTTTTTTTTTGGTCATTTTATCTCGTTTTGAATGTGCTAACATATTGTAGCCATCCGCAACATCAAGTTCAAGCTCACAGACGTCACGCTCGCGCAAGAGACCATCTACCGTGGCGGCGGCCAGATTATCCCGACGGCCCGCCGTGCCTGCTACGGCTCGTTTATGCTGTCGTCTCCGCGACTTATGGAGCCCGTCTACACCGTCTCGATGACCGGCCCGGAGGCCGCGTCCTCCAAGTTGTACCAGATCCTGTCGCAGCGCCGCGGCCACGTGCTGACGGACGTCGGTATTCCCGGCACCAATTTGTCGCGCACGGTCGGCCTGCTGCCCGTCATCGACTCGTTTGGCTTTGAGACGGACTTCCGCATCTCGTCCGACAACACAGGCCTCGTCAGTCTCGTGTTTGACCGGTGGCAGGTCGTGCCGGGCGACCCGCTGGACCGCGATGTGATTTTGCGGCCGATGCAGATGGCGCCAGTGCAGGGCACGGCACGGGACTTTGTGCTCAAGACGCGGAAGCGCAAGGGTCTCAGCGAGGACGTGTCGATTGGCAAGTTCCTAGAGCCGGAGCTGTACAGCGAGCTGGTATCGAGCGGGACGCTGGAGGAGGGCTCATAGAATGGGGAGGACTATTTTAACCCCCTTTTAATTTTGTTCCTGATGGTCATTGGCTATGTCTTATGTTTCTCTAAAAACGGAGCGATGGTGAGGGTCACATTTGATTTTCTTGATTTTCTTGCTTGTTCTTGATTTTCGTCCTGTCTTTCTTTCCTTCTCCTTTACGATACGAACGCACAAGGTCATGCATGTATCCCGGCGAATTTACACTTTTTGTTTGGTTCCACGCATGTGTTCGACAGGCGGACGTTTCCCATCTCATCTCTTTTGGGGGCTCTTGGAGGTTTATTCCCGCTAGTTCAGGGGCTGTTTTAAACTATAGAAGGGACAAATATAGGGCCGGGATGCCAACATTCCATGAGACTTGGTCCAAGGTCTTTTGTTCTCTCTTTTGCCGTGCAGGTGCAGAGTGCTAGTACCAGCGAACAGGTCGGCTTCGCCAGGCGTTCGTTTTTGACAGACAGTTGCGATTGGCCCAGTATGGTGACAACGACCTACGAAGTTTAGTCTGGATGTGTAAATAATACACAGGCCAATAGATGGTGTGGATGATACGGTCCCCGGCTCGATTTAGAGGCTTATATCTGGCCCTGTCACTATATCTGATAACAAATGACCTATTCTGCCTGTCTGTCATCTTCCCTGTGTAAGAAAGCGGAACTTGCCGAGGAACAATATGTTGTTTTGTTCCTTGCTTTGGGGGGGTTCGTATTCTCGTCATCTTCTTTTCTTTTTGACCATTGTTTTTTTTTTTTTTCCTTAGCTGCTATTATATTTTGTTTCTTGTTTTCCGGACGTTCCAAGCAGCTGATGCTACATTGTTTCTTGAGTTTACCGAATGTAACGATAATAAGTCACTGTGCGAGTATAATTTATCATGGGCAGCCTCTTGTGAGGAGCAATATACGGGTTGTGCGTACGCGTTTACGCGTGTCAATTATATGTCGTGTTATATGTCGTATCGTGTGGTGGATGGCGATATGTTGGTGAATTTATGTTAGAATTCGTTTCGTTTCCATAGTTTCTTTCGCTTTTCACGTACTTTAATATTTATTTTTAAATAAAATACAACATAAATAAAACGTCAATGTACTTATTGAATTATTAGGAAATACAGACGTGCGATTATTCCCCACCAAATAAATTAAAATGGTACAATGGTTTTTCTCAAAATAAAACTGCATTTGAATAGTCTATTCCTTTGTACCAAAATAACAACAACGCTCTAGCTTTACAACCTTCCACCGCCCGCACTCCACTCTGCCCATTTACGGTTTTGCTTTGTCCGTTCCCTCCACCTCCCGCGAGCTTGTCTAATTACGTCGCCTTCATCTGGGACGTACGCAAACGCTGCGACTGTGCCGCCATGTCCCCATCACTAATGTATTGTCCCGCGCCTGCGACCGTCGTAGTTCGTAACAGCCTCTGCCATGACCGCTTTCAAGGGCACGAAGAATTCGGGAAACAAAGAGGCGCAGCGATTCCGGGTCTGCTGGCAGCATGTTATGACAAACAGGGCGAGGGCGGGTAGTGCATCGTCAAACTACGGCAGGCGCATTGACATTTGGGCGACTGTGCTTTTGCATTTGTGTGCGCGTTTGCGACTTTGCAAATCCTTGTTCATTTTCATGATATAGTTCGTTGATTGTTCTTAGTATGGCAGTATTTTCTGTCCGTGCCCGCCTCTCGGCAGGAAGCTGGACGTTGGAATTCCCTTCACTTTCTTGTCCCTTGTTCCCCCTTTATGCACCCCAAGTGATTGTCGACATCTTGTTGGGACACGTGGCTTGGCCTCTTTTCGCCCTTTCTGCTTTAATGCACTGTTATGTGCATGACAACAATTGCAATGCAGAACGGGTCGGCCGCATTCTTGCATTTTCGCGACAGACGCAGATTCAAACATAAGACAGGCACATGACACTGAACATCGACGTGGGCTGCGTAGCGACGATCGTTTGTTTCAGCCCATAGTAAGCCCATTGTGAGGAACCCGGCATTTGCAATGCTGATCCGAGTACTCAGTGCTTGCAGGATCTGGGCCCGGCTTTGACCTTGTCACGAGGTTTTTGATTTTCTTGGGAGACGGAGGTTCATGGCTGACAATGCGGTTTGCCTTGGATCGATATTTCCCAGTAAATCGTAAAGGGCAGGTAAAAATAGGAACATTGCTATACGCAAAACTGCGCAGTGGGTGGCATGGGTATTGGCATTCTCCAAAGTTGGTAGGGCGGGCGGGATGAAGAAGGTGGAGGGTGAAAACGGAAGAGTCGATCTTTACGCGAATCATGGTTGCATCACTGGCACGTTTCAAGCATCTTGTCCAGAACACCGCGCAGCGTGTCGTTCTCCAGCGCCGCAGCCACGCGCTCCTTGTCGGACAGCTGCTTGGTGACCTGGTCGTCCTGGGCGTGGGCGCCCTCTTTGACCTGGATATCGACGCGGTAGTTGGGTGGTAGCGTCTGCTCGAGGCGCACGCGGATGGCGAGACCAATGACGGTGACGAGCGAGCAGTGGTTGATGGTTGGGGTGACGTAGACGAGGACCTGCGTCAGCGCATTGGGGTCGTTGGCAGCCGCCTTGGCCTCGGCGGAGGTGGGCGAAGGTGTAATGCGAATGTCGGGCAAGTTGACAACAGAAAGCTGGCCCAGCGTGTGCGGGTGCTCGGGATCTGAAATCGTGGAGATTAAGTCTGGTTGGCGAGGGGGGGGGGGTGAGAAGAAGGGGTTGAAACGTTAGCGGGGCGCACTTTTGACTCTCACATCGCTCAAAACAAAGGTGTGAGGGGCGTCTTGTCCTGGTGAAAGGCGAGAGCATGGAACGCAAAAGCTTAACACAAAGGATGTGGAAACAAAACACAATTCATGGGAACGCAGAACGAGGGGCTGCTGTTGTATCGTTGCCGCTGCTGGAATGTGATATCTGCAATTGTCCGAAACGTTGACGCCGAAGCTGATGTGCCTTTGGTCATTATATCGGGACAAATGCAACGAACCACCTTAGGTAGGACAACACGCGCGCCCAGAACGACAATGCAATGCAAAGTACAAAAAGACATACCGTAGATCTCCTGTTCGTCGATGGGCTCCTCGGTGAAAACATCGCCGTCATCCCCGCCGAATGCCTCGACGTCATCGTAGGCATCACCCGATGACACTGACGACAGCGGGGACGGCGGAGCCACAGCAGGAGCGGCCCACGACGAGGCAGCACCACTGGCTGACTTTGTCTTGGGTGCGAGGATGTCGTCAAACTTGAACTCGGGTCCCCGGGTCGATGCCGTGTCCTTGCCCAAGCGCCGGCTGGGCAGCTGGGCGGCGTTGAGGATCACAGGGTTGGCGTTCTGAAGCTCGGCCATGGCGAACGTATGCTGTATGACACGGGAATGGGTGATTTGAAACAAACACAGACTGAGAAACGGTGCCGAAAAACCCTGTCGATGATGGCGATGTCGATTCCAATGTCGATATCTAATTTGTCAGATTCAGGTCCGAAGCCGGTCGTTCTTTAGCTTGACAGGCGGCCTAGGTTTTACGTTTATCCGGCCCAGCGGCGTATTGGTAGTGCCATCGATGCCGCGACTGGTTGTTGTTACCTGGTGTTATTACCGTGAGCGATGGTTGTTCAACCGCCGACCAGTGTTTTTGTCGAAAAGAAAGTGAGGGTTGTGATAGGGGCAGTTCTAGAGACCAGGGACAGTTGCGGTGGAAGGTACGAAGATGGCAGAACTCGCCTTCCCATTGTTTCCTTGTTTGCAAGCGCCACTGACGATATTTTACAGGCAGGTCCCAGTGGCTCGTTGTTGTTGAAAAAGGAAGCCACCGCCACTGACGTCGACGCCCCACATTTTGCCCATAGCCCACTGTTACCATAAGGCGCCAGAGCTCTTGTTTCACTGGGTAAGATAGGGAGCTATCACAGTTGTTTATATGCACGTATCCTGTCGACTGGTTATAATGGATTGCATCAGAGAGCTTGCTCCAGGCGTATTTCTCTCTCTGGGAGTACATGCACCAAACCAGCGCGGATGAACGGACCTGAGAAGGCATGACGAAACGGAAAAGAAGACAAAAGAAAGAAACTAGAACGCAAAAAGAACCGAAAAGAAAACTGTAAATTTAAAAAACACGGCTGCCAAAATCAGTATTCATGCATGGCTGGCATTTGTTTCCCGTTTCCCAGCGCCTCAGCCAGGCCATGTGTGCGAAATGTATGTAAGATTCTTACGTCGTACATATTTTATCAGTCGTATGCCGTACAGGGCCATCCCTGTCTTCGTATTGTAACGGAGTTATATTCTGTAGACAACCAAGAAAGTCGTGGTCCTGGTTTTCACCTCGGCACTGTGTCAGCCGCCGGTTGGAAACATCTTCACTTTCCTCAGTAATTTAGCTCTTACCAGTCCCGGAAACAATATAAAAATAAATTACGAAATAAACATGTTCTCGATTCGTACATTACTCCGCTGGCTTTATTACCGGGCGGCCCTGCAAGGAACAGCCGCTCTTTGATAAAGCTCGATTGTGGGGAGTGGTATTTCAACATTGCCCTGCTGTTGATTGCCCGCCTCAATAGTACGACGTACCTCGTACAGTCTTGCAGATTATCTCATCCCATGCTCATCTTATCTCTCCTAGGAGAAAGAAGATTTTTTTTTTCCAAGCTCCGCCTTTTAATTCCCAAGAAGCTCACATGATTGCGAACATTACGCGAGATGCTGCAGCCCATAATCGTGAGATATAGTTGGCTTGGCCGTTAATCACATTCCATGTCGCTTTTCGTCGCCAGCTTCTACATATTTTGTACCAAGAAGGGGCCGCAAAGGTCTCTACTTGTTTTCTCCTGCAGCTGACCTCGAACGAACATAGTCGTTACAATGTCTCTTTTACCTGTACAACGGAGCTTCATGGGTGGTCCTTCGTTCGGTGTTGATTCGCTGATTTGCTCTTCCCCGTTAACACCGTCGCTCTCTTTTTGTCTTTGAGAAGGTATCGAGCAGTTTAGACAAAAAAGGACAAAGTACGTATACGGAGTACAACTACAATACGACATGGCGGCTGAACGGGACACACAGGCGGAGTCTCCGTATTCGTCAGCATTACAACATCTCAGTAGGCAGCGGCTGCATGGCGATGACGACCACCATAGTCCGGGGCCTTCTCGGTCGACGCATTTCTCAGTGAGGCGTTGTGGCTACAGCGGTCTTCTGTGTAGCCCCTTACCCCTTGCCACGATGCTCACACCTTGTCTTTCCATCTCGTAAACAAAAGATGCAAAGTAAAACGTTGTAAGTTGTACTGACAGCGCGAGTCGCAAATGCTAATTCAAATTCAACAAACTCCTGCCTCCCGCGCCTGCCCACGGCCCGTTAGTGTGGGAAGCTTTTCCCCTTCCGCTTACTCTTTTCTTCGTCACGACCAAGTTGTGAGGCTCGCACAGCTCCACACGGTGCCACTTTCCTCCAGGGCAATGCAGAGGGCGACACGATGACAGTTGTGCTCCTTCCTCATTCGGATAGCTTACAGCAAGCACTTGCGTGCCTGGGCAAGCGGAACAATAGTCAGTCGCCTCGCTCGAATGGTGCCCGGCCCGGTCTTTTGCATTGTGGTCTGTCTAACACTGATGTGTCTTACGTCGGCCCCCTTTTTTAGGTTGAGTGCGTTTTGTTTCTTTGCTCTCATTTCCGTTGAGCTTGCCTTGTCCTCTTGTTTGCTCGTTTGCCCTTTTGCCCTCTCTTGCAGTTTTGATCTTGGTGCATTGCATTGGGGGGCACATCATTTGGGACGAGGATAATAATTTTGCTGCTTGGCAGTCGTCTTTCACATGTTAAAAACTTGCGCATTCACCTTATTTCAAGGGGGCACAACGGCCCATGCACGGTTAAAGAAGGAACAGGGGTGACGGGGGGAAGTGTTTTCCTGGGCTTCTCTGCCAGCGCCCTTTCTTTCCTTTCTTTTACTAGGGAGTGGACGGGAGCACGCCGCACAATACCACGTAATTACGATGTACGGCATCCTCTGTTTTGCCTACCTGGGCACTGCCTTTATTTTCTTAACGGTTGTCTTTTTGGGGAATGGCCTGCCCTCCTGCCCTGTCTCCTGCCCCTTGGTCACAGGTCCTGGACTTCGGTTAATGGTAGTTGGCCTGCAGCGTCAACTATGGCTGCAACGTCGACCGGGGGGGGGGGGTGTTCTAGGAAACGGCGTGCATATGTGCACAGACCCAGGGGTTCGTTTGTATGGTTCGATGGTCTTGGGGCTGGCCATGGAAGAATTAAGGAAGAGAAAGAAGAGTGACCGAAGCCTACTCTGGAGCATATCGTCGAAGCCCTGGTGGCGGTCGCTGCGTCGTGACCGTTTCGGTCTTTCCTCTTTTCCACACCCTAGAACACTTCGTCCGAGGTAAGGCCACCAATCAGGCACTTCCACTGGAGCTAGAGTGGATATTACATCGCTGAGCAAGGGGAGCCCCATGCTGAAGGAAGTTACGAGTCTCCTGTCTCGACATGCGACTTTGCGCTCTCTTTGCCGCCTGCGATGCGAACAGTGCCTTCCCCTCCACAGTTAACACCCTTTGCTACATCCCGTACAATGGTGAATGTGCAATGCGACGGCGGGCAGCCAGGCCCTGTTGCTGCCTCTCAACGACAGGGGAAGGCGCAGGGCGGCTTCTTCCGCGTGGGAAAGTATGCAGTGGCAGTTGCGTGAGTAAGAAAGGGAACGAACCTAAATATAAATGAAAACGAGCCGTACAGAAGGTTTCGAGAGGTAGAAACCGTCGTCTACAGAATACTTTCCATGAAACGACTCCCCCATATCAGAAGTTGCGGGGGATTGCAGGTGACAGGGTATTCGTAACGATACGTCGTGTGTGGGAATTGGCAAGCTCAGGAGGCATCACTGTCTCACCTAAATTGGGTATCGTGCTCACCAAACACTCGGAAACTGCGGCCGGTCGACCAGGTTTGCATTGTGCTGGTGTTACTGGTCCTTGACAACAGTTTGCAGTTCCATTTTCAACGTGCAAGGCCATTCACAACGGGCTCGACGACTCGTCGCAAACATTTCGTCCAACTCATATCTCGTCCTCTCCGTCTCAAGGTTCCTTTTACGATCCCGTTTTCTGACCAATGACGGGACGACCGTGGGCACTACCCCAGCCCTGTGTGCAATGTTGGTTCTGCTCACAAAGTATGATGCATCCTGCTACGTCGTACATATTCTGGCAGTAGCGCCATCCAAGACCAGAGATGCATATTTGGTTGGCACGCCCCATCAATAAGCCCAAGTAGGCATCTCTTACCAGATTGCATCTTGGCCGCGTCTTTGAATGCCTCCCGACGGCATTTTTGCATCGACTGTGAATGCCGAAACATCGCCCTTGGAAGGCGATCGGAGCTAATCGCTGGAAATCAGATGTTTCCCATCCAGCCGTGGGCCAGGTGTAGAGGTCGCCCATCAGTAAGCGGGCACGACTTTTGTGTGAAGGGAGGAGGGCCATAATTGCAGTGCCGCGCCCGATCTCTGAGCAGACTAGTATGTGGGCAAACTGGCACTTTTGAGGTCCATTTTTCTTTTCAATTCTAACTGATGCCTGAGGAGTTCGGGTCAAGGTCCAAGGCAAATGGCCAGGTCAGCGTTGTGCCACCACAGATGGCCAAACGAGCTAGGGCAATGATCTGGGACCAGTCGCAAGTCTTTGTTGCCTCCGCCGATGGCGATTTGCTCCTGTGCTTCCGTGTGGCTGTCTTTCTTTGTGCCTGGAACGCCAGGCCAAGTGAGAAACGGCCACTTTCGTCCGCCTGTATCCCTGCTAGCATCGAAGCATCGAACGTGCTTCCTTTGTGCTCTGAGACGGAGTCAAGGCCCGCTGGAAAGGCCCCTGGCCTGGAGCCGCCTGGGCGGTTTCCCTCGTCGCTAAACCTCTGAGACGTATGGTCTGGACCCGTGTAAGGACGGGAGAGGCGCTGATTGCGTTCTTTTATTCTTTATTTTATGAGTCTAGACATCTCATCTTGGAGCTCGCTATTCGCTGTAGATGTTTCTTTTCTTTCCAAACACGTGCTGACCTCTGCGGCTCTGTCCCAGCTCCTTATACAGCCGCAAAAGTAATCTTACGAAAGACAAAAAATAGCAATTGCAAAATACGGTCTTCCGTTTATGTGAGAGTCCTCTTGCAATTTCGTCACAGGCGACGGCCGCTGCATGCCACGAGTCAGCAGTCGTTACGCGAGCTCTTGGGTTTAATGTTTAATGGCCGAGTCGCTCTAGCAAAAGCGTTCACCGCTGCTGGTAGCCTTGTCGCGTCATCTTGCCAGTAACGATACTTTTAAGCGGCTGACGGAGTGTTAATACTTACAAGGCCCATGGGGGCACTTGCCATTTTACTTGATTTCGTCATGTTTACTCCAAAGGTACCGTTAGCTCGGGCGCGCCTTCCACAGGCACAAAAAACGTATCTGACAACCCCCACCACCCCTGCAACTCCATTGCAGCTTCCCAAACACATCCTTCCCCGCGTCTACCTGAGCTCCTTCCTGCTCTTTCATTGCTCCTTCCATCTTATGGTCGATTGCGAAGCTCCCATTCAGGAAAGAGTAGACGAAGCAGCATATCTCAATCTCACCTTTGTTTTCATTTTCCAGACCCCCCTATTTTGCTTCATCTCTTCTTTCGTCCTGTCCCTGTTATCCACACTCCCCTCCACACAAATCCCCACCGCTTCCCACATCCCGGGACACGGGCTCAACCTCTCTCGGACGACATCGCTGTCGTAGTTGGCCTCGTTCCCGTATGACGCATTTGTCTGCAGTGAAACGACAGCCCTTATTCGGGCAATCTCCATCGACCTCCTACCTCCGTATCGAACATCACTGTGGTCCGCTTCAAGCTTGAGCAGAGCGCAAGGCTCCACCTAAGCCTCGCATCCAGATCGCGTGCGTGTGATAGTTGACTCGACTACATCCACCAATCCACGCTGTCCTTTGTTCGACCTCACCCCGGCTCATATATGCAGCCCAGGTCCTGCGTCCCCAATCCAACATCTTTTGGCCACGCCTATTTGTACGTCTGCAAGAACACACAGACTTATATGCAATCACATCCACCCACACACACAGAGCTCTTTGGCTTTCTTTCTTTTGCTTGTTTGCTTTCGTGCATCTTGCCTGTTTGCCCATTCACAGGCGCACAGAAACGGCACCTAAACTCCAATAGGAGCTTATTTTATGCGAGAACCACAACAAGGGCGAGGAGAAAGGCATTGCAATGCTGAGTGGACTTCTTTCCCACACCCCTGTCCAGGCTTTCGTCAACGGGACGGCCCTGCACACACCAAGACAATTTGCTACTTTTTGTTTTCATCCTTTCATGCTCACCCCTTTGTGCTACCCTTATTTCTTTTTTCTGTTATTTTCTGTTTTCTGGCTGTTTTTTTTTTGGTTCAATTTCAATTTGCTGCCTCGGTTCTTTTCTTTGTCTATGTCCAGTGCAAAATATGCCAACTCACGAGACGTCGTGCATACAGGAATTTCCCTCAGTGCAACACTCCTTTTTGTGTTTCCCAACCTGATTTTCAGGTCCAACAAGAGTATTAAACTGGCCGTCCTCAACAGCATTGGCCAGCTCTTCGTGAGTGCTCCAATAATCGCCGGGACTGATCGACAGTTGTGGTTGCGCACTGGTTGCGTAGACTCAAGACACATTTGATACCCTACGAAGTATTACATTGCTCACCAACGGCTGGCGATCCTCAGTCCCTTTGCCTTTGTTATATATCTGCAAGCGCCTTTCTTCACAAAACTTCCTTCAGGTATGTCGGGACATCTGCATTGTGATGTGAATAATTTTGTGCCTACCTCTCGATCGTGCCCTGCTCCTCTATTTTTCTGTCTCTGTACGAAATACGGTGCATCCTCCTAGTTGCTCCCTTGCTTGTCCCATGGCTATGGGCCATGTTTGCTTTTTCTGCTTTTTTGCTGCTTTTGTCGGCAGTTTTCTGTCGCTCGCTTGGCGCTAACCTTGGCTGTCGCAACTCTACGCCGCCAATCCACTCCCTCCTACGCAATTGCTCTTAGTCTCCTCACCTGGGTCACAAATCTTTCTATGCCGCTCGAGTTTAAGATACACGCCCCCTTCCCCTCCTCTCTTCGTCATCCCCATCCGACTACCCCGTACGCCATCTCAAAACTGCCTGAACTCCCGCTACAGCCCCTTTCACATTACTCCTGCAGCACCCGCTGCACATCGACTGCGCTGATTCCTACCGCCTTGTTCCCGCTATTCTAACTAATTCTTTGCAGAACCGCGGTGTAATGCGACCCTCTCTCTCTGTGACCTGCATCTACACAGTAGCCAAGGGGAGCATTAAGCTAGATAATAAGAGAGCAACAGACCACGACCCAGCCAGTGACCAGACCCCCCTCGCCCCCTCGCTCGCCTCATCCCTCCTGCACTAGCAGATCGTCTTGGGACCCCCCCTCCTGCCCAACTCTCTACTGCATATTATTTCGCCGTCGAAGCGCAACACCAATTACAAGCGGACGTGCCTATTGTGCTCTATGTCAGTATCGACGCTACATTTCTTTCTCTCCTGTCTTTTTGACCATTTTTTGCCTTCCACATTCCTTTTTCGTTTCTTGTTTCATGTTCGTTTTTACTTCTTCGGCCTCGCATATTGATTTTACGACCTAAAGTGCGTTCACTTTTACCTCAACACCAAGGCGGCTCAGCCATCGCGCTCTCGATTATCTACCTGTGGATGTAGATCTCAATAAGAGACACGGATTCTGTGCAGGCCCGCAGGCGCATTGCGTGACGCCCGGCGCTTGATCTCCCCGAACAGCAACAGAGACAGAACCTCAACGGAACGAGGGCAGTTCTCCGTGTATTCACATCCCACCACCCGACCACGACGCCGCGCACCACGGCCACACGCAAACATGGCGAACGGCGACCCCTCGGAGCGGCGCATCCTGCCGCAAAGCTCGCAGATGAACTCGTTTTCCTTCGGGCCCCCTGCCTATCAGCAACCACCACCAGAAACTCAACAAAAAAGTGAGTCGGCCTGCGAAACACAGCTGGGAAGAACGCAACGACTATCGCAGCGTGTGCAAGAGGACGCGCGTCGCTGTCTCTGTCTGCGCGCGAGCAATTCGTGCGCGAGGGGCAGATGAGATGAGGCTCCTGGGGCGCAAAAGTTTCACATTTTCTAACAACTCTTCGTTTCTTATAGACTATGTCTTTGTTGACGAACACAACCGCCATAAACGACTGAAAGGTAAGGCAAACATACGATCGAGGATGAGCCGAACAGACACTGCTAACCACGCCGTCCCGGCATTGGCAGTGATGCGAGCTTGCGAGGGCTGCCGAAAAAGAAAGATCAAATGCGATGCTGCTACAACAAACACTTGGCCATGTTCGTCGTGCATCCGGTTGAAGTTGCAATGTGTACGCCCGACAGGATACGACGGTGCGACCGACGGCCAAGGCTACGAAGACCAGCCGCAGCCACTTCAGCAGCAACCAGTGCAGATGCAGCAGCCACAACAAAACCAGCAACAGCCTTCAGGTCTACAACCGCAGCGGCAGCCGCAACGGCAGCAAATATTGCCACCTCAGCAACAGCAGCAGCAACAGCAGCAACAACAACAACTTCAACAACCTCCACAGCTGTACAACGCACCATTGGATTTCCATCACCAGCAGCTTGATCCCGTGGGCTTTTCCGATGACACTAAACCGCCCCAAGGCATCTACGGAGCGCCGACGATCAACTTTTCCACGCCAAACGGGAGCACACCAAATTTGGGTGTGTACGGACAGGTCCCGTATCCAGGTCCGACCGCCGGGCTTCAATATACGACAGGACCTCCGTCTCTTGGTCTCGTAGACACGACTACATATACCAGCCAGCAAGATGTGTTTCCAACGCCTCCGCTTCAGCATGGCTCGCACGCACAATCGCCCTCCGATTCGGCATACGTGACAAACGATGACCAGGCGAGCTATGCCGGCGGGGACCTGGCAGATCTGCTCGGCAACCTCCGGATGAACGAGGCTGGTTCAGCGCCCTACTTGAACAACCGCTTGCTTGCAAGCAAGCTTGGCAGCGAGGAGACGCCCGTGGTGGGTGACGATGACGACGACTACAAGAGCTCCCTGCCCCCGCTAGTGTCAGGGCCGGGGCTTAAAATTCGCATCCCCCCTGAGCTCATGCCCGACGACGACACGATTCTACAGTACTTTGATCTCTACTTTACCAATGTGCACCCGTACGTTCCGGTTCTCGACAAGAACATCTTCTACCAGCAGTGGCGGACCAACCGGGAGGCCATCTCACCATTGTTGATCGAAGCTCTGTTGGCAATAGGTGGCCGCCTGGCGGACGACCCGGCGCAGGGACAGCAGTGGCTCGCGCTTGCGACACGGCATGCGGACTCCTTCATGGACGTGCCCCGTCTTAGCACGCTGCAGGCGCTTTTGGTCATGCTGAAAGCACGCGAAGCGGCCCCAAAGCGCGGGTACTACTACCGGTCATGGATGGCCATCGTTCAATGTGTGCAAATGGCAAAGGATCTCGGACTCGATGAACACTATGCCGACCACAAAGCCGGACAGTCGTGTGGTTCCAGCCCTGCGGAATGCCTGATGAAGACGCGCATTTGGCAAACAATTTTCGTTTGTGAGGTCATGATCGGCTCCCCTCAGGGCCGTACGGATTTGTCGGTAACCGAGGATTCGGTCGACGTGCGGGAACCACCCCCGACGCCCGGCGTTGATGACACGGACATGCAAGTGTCGCGAAACTTTGTGTACATGACGCGCATCATCTGTAACGTCTCCCGCATGAACCGTATCTACGCCCGCATCAAGCGAAACAAGGATTGGGGAGCGGATCCCGAGTTCACGCGGATGAATCCTCTTCTTCATGCTTGGCCCAACGAGTTGCCGCCCGATCTGGCCATCACATTCCCTGCCGACGGGACGCCACCATGGATCCCGTCATCCTTTATCGGCAACATGCATTCATATTACTACCTCAGTATCCTCCTGTTACACCGGCCACAGCTCCAGGCCCTCCCCCCGTCATCGCCCGACGGCAGGTGGAAGCAGCACATGATGGTGTGCTACTCGTCGGCCAAACTTCTTTGCCGGTTGGAAGAATCGATTCTACAATCGTTTGGCTTGAACGGACTCCAGAATATGCAACGTGGTATCAACTTCACAATCTATTCGGTTTTGACCTGCATTTTGGTCCATCTGGTAAGTTCTCCTTTGTTCTCGTGTTACAGTGCGAGGTTTACGTCCGCAATCCTTGATATACCTGTCTAGATTTGCCGCCTTCAGACAAGGCAAATAGCTAACTATTCAGGTCGCACTCACATCACCTGACCCTGACTTCAATACCGATGCCCGCGAGTACTTTACGAGACATATGCGGGTTCTTGAGAAGTGCATGAGCTCGTGGCCCATGGCAGATATGCAGCGACAGATTGACGCGATGCGCGAAGCATTCTCGGCTGATGTCCGAAAGCCGTTTGTGCTGAAGCCAACGTTCCCGTACGGCAGCCCGTCGCCGTCTTCGAGTCATCCCAGCCCCCCTCAGCAACCGACCGGAGCCAGTGCTGTGACGACCCCGACAGCGGCGAGTTTCCGGCCTGACACCCTGCGACAACAATCGGTGGATCAGATCATCCAGCAGCACCAGCAGCAGCAACAACAGCAGCAACAACAACAGCTCGCCTCGGCTCTGTCACAAAGTCACCAGCCGACTGGATTTGTTGGACATCCGATCTCGCCGCCTGTTTCGGTTGGCGCGTCCGATATTAAGTCTCTAGGTGGCTCGCCTCTGGCGGGTGCTTCGCTTGGAATGATTTCTGCTGTCACAGAATCCCAGGAACCCCACGGACTGGATAACAGCCTCAACCTGGCGAGCGCGCCGGGCTGGAATCCAGCAAGGATCTTTGAGTAAGTTTTTTTTTTTCTATTTCTTTTGCAACTTTATTTCTGGGTCCGTCTACTGACAAATAACTTCTCTACAGCCAATGGAACACGACTTTCGGTACGCCCCAAGCTACCCAAAACAATTCCGCTACTTCGCAGACCAGTGCTCTAAGTGCCCCTTCGTCTTCAGGTTCCGCCGAAGTCCCCACCCTCCAGGACATCCAAGCGGCGCAGGCCGGTCTCACCATGAATCCCAACACCGTTTCCGCCGCCTACCCGACAGCGCCGATCCCCGCCCAACACACATTTGTTACGCCAGCGATGTGGCAGGAGTCCGTCGCCAGCGTGTACGAGGGCGGCCTCAAACGCAGCTGGGACTACGACTCTTAACAGCCACACCCACCATATGGCGGGCCAAAGACGACGGGGCTAATACGGTTTAGGATTTTCGATGCAACGATTCAGTCTGGTCCGCAAAGTTCCTCCTCATTCTGTCTTCTGTCACGTTTTACTACTACGTCCCGCACCTCCCGGGTAGCCAACCCGTGTATAGGAACCTAACGTGACCATTCTGTTTCGAACGATACTTTCCTTTGTTTATTTCTGACCACCCCTTCTTTACGATTTTTTTGGTACGCTGAATGTTTATTCTTCATGCAATCCAGAATGTTAACGACAAAACGATACTCTTTCCCCCCCCAAGCCCCTTCCGTTTTTCACCGTCACTCCGTTTACGTATTGACTCGTTACTCTGCGTCGTTTCTTTTGCTTCGTTTCGTTCCCATATCCCCATCTGTTTTTTCTTGGGTTTGCCTTTTTTTTTCCCTCGACAACGTCTTGTGTCTACGATGATTCTGTATACTGCATCTCGTTTTTGGAACATTTGAATCGGACATGTACACAAAATGCATATTATTTTTTGGGTGTTCTATGGACACAGCTATTGTTTCCCATGGCAGAATGTGTGCTATCTTTGGGGAGTGTTTTTTTTTTCTTGGGGACCTTGCATTGGGTGCATATATATTTTATGTATTAGTATTTGGATCCCGTCTTGATGTTTCCTTCTCACTTCTTTTTGGATACCTATATACCTCTTTGGAGCTACCATTACGCCATTTGATTCGTTGGGAATGGGGTTTTTTTTTTTTTTTTTTTTTTTTTTTTTCTGGTGCTTTACAGCGAAAATATAAGCAAAAGCTGTGCGAGTCAAAGCAAAGACGCGCCATTATCATCAATGAAATTTTCTACATTAAACACAGTTTATTTTGATATGAATCTCTTTGTCACACTATAACCATTTGGGTCGATTTTTGGTACAGACTAAGGAGCCTTGCTCTGCGGCTGACGAGCGCGCCGTTCAATGAGAGCCAACAAATCGTCCCAGGCCCAGCTGTACTGCACGCCGCGACTGTTGCCGCCAGCTGGGGCCCCGAAGCGTGTGGTCGGCGCTAGATGGACAAAGGGAAACTTGGAGGAGGTGGAGATGAACTGGGACGGCCGTTTAGGGGCGGCGGCGGCGGCGGTGGTCGCTGCTTGGCCGGAGTTGGAGGGAAGGGGCCGGGATGATGCCATGGGAGAACGGCTGCCAATGCCCGCCGCCGCCGCTTCGGATGATGCCCGGGTGTCCACAAAGTTGACGATCCGCAGCCGCTCGTGTGCCGGCACCAGATCGCTGACAGCCACAGTGGCGAGACGAGGACGGCCCACAAGGTTCATGGTGGTGATGTCGAGCTGGGTAGCGGCAGGGACATTGCGGACAAAGCGGTGCAACAGCTCGCGGTCCGGGTGGCGGGCGTACGCCGGGAGACGCAGGTGGATAAAGACGACAAAGGGCGAGGAGGTGTACAAGACAACGGCAAAGGGAACGAGGCCGCAGATGGTGACGCCGAGGATCTGCCACAGTGGCTTGCCGGCGGCGATGTAAGCGGGAGCGACAAGGAAGGTGAAAAAGGCCAGGCCGAAGAGGGTGGTGACCTTGAGGCAGGCCAAGAACGTTGTGCGGCCCGTACCGGCATGGTAGATGAGAAGCCGCTCGGGGACTGGACACGAATTAGTCGCATGTTCGCGGGACACGGGTGGAAGGTCACGAAAGTGTACATACATCGCCTTGCACCCGGCTTTACTGTGGACGAGGCACAGCGCGGTGTTGGGAGCGCATTTTTTCTAGCGAGAGTCGTCCTTGTGAAGCGGAGGAGAATAGAAGAGGGAGTATGGGAGCGAAATGGAGAGGAGAAGCAGGAGGTGGATGGCGATGCGAAGAAAGGTTGTGAGTGCAATGAGGAGGAACGAGAAGTAGGACCAAAAGCCCGGCGGATGGCCCCTATGGAGAACACACGGCCAGGACCCGGCCGTATTAAGGTATACCAGAAGGTCATAGTAACTGTTGAGGGTGAATGGAGTGTGAGAGCAGCTCATAAGACTGCCATGGTTTGAGAGAGGTGAGGTGAGAGAAGCCGTCCCATTTGCTACAGTGCATTTAGTGAGGATTTCCCACGAATCCCGCTAGCTGCCAGGGGACTTAATATTATGTAATCAATCGAGCGAGGGTGGCTTTCCCAGCACCACCAGAGATATCTCAAAATTTGGTGGGAAAAAAGTGTTATTAAAACATTAAGAGCTTCAAGAAACTGTGGCATTGCATGTCAAGAGTAATGGGAATGAAGGCATAATATATACCAACGAGGCTGGAGAGTTTTCACATGGTCCCATTGCAGTGAAGTTAGTTTATACAGCTTTGATTGGCTAGCGCCTTCCGCAGGAGGCAGACCGTTGCTGCCTTTTCCACTTTAAATAGACACAGCGTCAACCCAATCCTCACCACACTTTATCACACTTCACCCCATCATATGCCGTCACCATGGTGAAGCCACTAACATTCAAGGGCGACAAAAAGGTCAAGAAGCGCAAGCACCGCGACCGCGACCGCGACCGCGAGCCCGACGACGCGGCACGCAAGCGGACAGCAGTGCAGGTGGCCGGCGGCGACGAGACTGTGGCCGACGACGACACATGGGTCTCGGCCGAAGCCCTAGGAGACGTCTCGGGGCCGGTGCTGATTGTGCTGCCAGGCACGGGCGACACCAAGCCGGCGGCGCTCGCGTGCGACGCCAACGGCAAGGTGTTTGCCATGGCGATTGAGAACATTGTGGACGGCAACCCGGCGAGCGCCGAGCCGCACGACGTGAGACAGGTCTGGGTGGCGAGCCGCGTGGTGGGCACCGAGCATTTCCTGTTCAAGGGCCACCACGGCAAGTACCTGGGGTGCGACAAGTACGGGCTGTTTTCGGCGACATCGATTGCGGTGTCGCCGCTCGAGTCGTTTGTGCTGGTCGACGCAGCAGCAGCGTCGGCGACCCAAAACAAAGAAACAGAGGCAGCACAAGAGCCCGACGTCTTCCAAATCAAGACGCTCCGCGACACCTTTTTGTCGGTGCAGCCGCACAAGGGCACAGCGGGTGCCGCCAAAGCCGCCAAAGCCGACGCCGTGTCGGACGTGCGCGGCGACGCGGCTGAGGCCGGCATCTACACAGGCGTGCGTATCCGCATGCAGGCCCGCTTCAAGCCGCGCATCAAGGCGTCAAAGGAGGAAAAGGCACGCGAAAAGATCAGCCGACGGGAGCTCGAGACGGCCGCGGGCCGCCGTCTGGAAGACGACGAGGTCAAGCTGCTGAAGCGCGCACGGCGCGACGGCGACTACCACGAGCGGCTACTGGACCTCAAAGTCAAGGGCAAGAGCGACACATACGCGTGAGGAGCATAGCGGGATGTGCATGGTTTACGGTGTTTACGGATTCCATTGGCTTGGACGGGATATATATGCAAGAAAACAGACAGCTCGACAGCTGAAGCAAAACGATACCCTTCTTTTTTTGTTGGTCCTTTGCTTCCTCTTTTTTTTTCGTCGTCATTACGCAGACGGTCGCCACGCGCGCACTTTGCCGTCTTCGCCGCACGTGTAGACTGCCTGCTGCTCGTCAAACACGCAGAAACCACGCACAATCTCGGTGCCGTGCGCGACCGGCAGACCGACAACGGAGTCGAGCGCAAAGGCCCAGCCGTCGCCTTTTGTGAGGTGCACCAACTGGAACATTTCCAAGCTGACATGTTAGGGGCGGCGTGACAGGTGACGAAGAACGAAAGGGAGAGGGAGGGAGAGGGGGGTTGGACGTACTCCTGCGATCCTGCACCGATGACGGCGCCTGCCTGGCCCCCAGACTTGGGCAGAACATTGGCCACATACTGGCAGTCTAGGATCTGCCGCACATCGCCAAAATCGCGCGTCGCAGAGCCTGCTTCGCGTGCCTCGGCCAAGTCGTACAGCGCCAGCTTCTCGTCGTGCGACAGCGCATACACCTCGGTGTCGTTCAAAAAGCCCGCGTGGTGGATCGACGCGCCGTGGTTGAAGGCCTGGATCACCACCTCATCCTCGTCGGCAATGCGCGTGTCGCAGACATTCACAAGTCCGTCCGTCGAGCCCGACAGCAGAATGTGTCCGTTGGTCGGGTGGAAGTTGAGCTCTGTGACGTCGTCGCTGTGCACATCGGTGTACCGTACTTTGGGTGTCGGTCCAGCACGGATGTCCCTGGTTGTTGCGTGTCGAGTGTGAGCATGGAGCAAGGGGAAAAACACATTGTCACAATGCCATACGAACTGCGGCTCACCACATGACAATCGACGCTTGGTAGTCGACCAATTCGGTTCCCACGGCCACGGACTGTGTCGACAAGTCGCACGCCAGCGACATGACGTTTGCATCGGCAGAGCCTATTGGTTAGCTTGTCTCGAGTCTTGCGCCTGCAGTGCGTTCGACTCGCCAACGACTCACCGACTTTGGCGCTCGCTTGTGGTCCTTGTGCAGCGTCCCGCAGATCCCACAGTGCCACTGTGCCGTTCCCGCCCGCCGTCGCCAACACACATCCTGCCGTGTCAAAGGCCCTTGCCGTTGTGAGGTTGCCATGGGACGTGGCGAACGACCGCTTGGGCCCGGCGCCGATCCGCGCAGGATCAAAGAGAGAGAGCTTTCCGTCGGTCGAGATCGATGCCAACCCGGACGCCAGCGGGATCAGATCGAGCACGTACGGGGGCGTCGATCCCGGAAACTGGTACTCGTCGGCAACAGCAAGATGATACATTGTGATGGGTGTAGACGGCGCGGAGAGGAAGACGGTCAAAAGACGATGTGAGACAACAATTAATAAATAGAAATAGAAAACAAAGTGCTCATTCGGCCGTTAAAAATGTGAATGTACCCCCAAGTGTCATGAATATCGTGTCAAAACTCCATCGGTCGGCCTATCGTGAAAAGCTTCTCATAGACAACCGTTCGTCAAAATGACTAAGCCGACTGGTCGCTGTCAAATAAAAGCGGGTCGTCTTCACCTGTCTGCAATGCTACTGGCTCTCCAATATTACCGGTCGGACGGTATTAACGCCAGCCGGCAGGGGCAACGCAGAACAAGGAGAGGTACGCCCTGGAGAAGGAGCCACTGGAGCTTGAACGAACTAGCGCGGCTTCCATCTTGCCAGCTTGCACCAGTTGCGTTGCGCCTTCCTGCCTTGCAGTCCGTCCGCCGCCCATCGCACCTGCTCTCCTGTATGTCCCTGGCTCCTGGTTGGTGATCGCACGACCCAACGGCCACGACGAATCTCACAAATCTCACAACACTCGCAAATCTCACAACTCCCACAATCTCACCAACAAACTTACCAGCTACCCCGACCCAAGTCTTGTCCAACACTGCACCCAAGGATTTCATTCTTACTTTAAGTGTCGCTTGGTCTCCTCTGCCTGCATTCTCTTATGCCACACGACTCCGTGGCGCACCGTCCGCGCACGTCTTCGTTGTCCTCCTCGTCGACGGAAGCAATGATTTGACGACTCGTTTCTCTTGTTTCTTTACTGTGCCGTTTCATGCCTCAAGAACATCTGCCTTTACCCCGCTGAAACAACCCTTACTCGCTACCCTGCTGGCTTGCTAGCCTCTCAGCATGCGGCAGTCCCTCCTCTGGACGCTCCGTATGTGCCACGTCTGCCATATGCATATCCCCTCTCCCACGCCCATACTGACAAACCCAACCTCCAGTGCTGCTGCAGGGCGTTGCGGTCAACTGTGTCGATCCTGTGACCACCGACGATGTGATCTACTCGAGTCAGAATGCCCGGGAACGGTTACCCGGAGCCGACCTCGTCGACGCCGCGCTTGCGAAACTCTCCTCCATCCCCAGCCAACCATACCACAAACAGCGACGACAGACGGGCATGTTCGCGACTGCACTGCGTTTCGTCTTGAAAGCCGCCCCGAGCTTCTCGATGCGGGGTCCACCGCCACAACAGTCCCAGCAGTCGTCGTCACAACACCACCAGTCGGCGTCCGCTAGCAAGGCACTCCCTGCACCGCTGGGCGAAGCCGTCGGCCTGCTCGAGGAGTCGTCGGCGCGCTACAACAACCCCGACGCCCTCTACCTTCTCGCCCAGATGAACTACTTTGGCAACTACACACACCCGCGCAACTTCCCCGCCGCCTTCGACTACTACCTCCACCTCGCCGACAGCCACGGTAACAGCTCCGCCATGTACATGGTCGGCCTCATGTACTCCACTGGCATCGGCGGCGCCGTGGAGCCCGACCAGGCCCGCGCCCTGCTCTACTACACATTTGCCGCCCTGCGCGGCCACACCCGCGCCGAGATGACGGTCGCCTCGCGCCATCACGTCGGCGTCGGCACGCCCCGTAGCTGCGACGAGGCCGTCAAGTACTACAAGCGTGTCGCCGACAAGGCCATTGCCTGGTACCGCTCGGGCCCGCCGGGCGGCATGGGCTGGGTGCAGCAGCCGTACCGGATTGCCGACGAGGTGGGCGGCGTCTACGGCGAGGGCGCGAGCGCTGTCAGTTCTGGCATCAACGCGCTGCGCGCACAGCCGCACTCGGATGCCTATGCGTCGATTGAGGACATCATCGAGTACCTCGACCTCATGGCGCAAAAGGGCGACTTCAAGGCGGCGCTCAATGTGGGCCGCATCTACTACGAGGGCCAGCGCGGGCTCGACCGCGACATGACCATGGCGCGCAAGTATTTCCTCATGGTGGCGAGCAAGTTCTGGAAAAAGGACGGCCGCACCGTGGAGAGCCCCAAGGTCGGCCTGGACAAGACGGCCGGCAAGGCCGCGGGGTACCTGGGCCGCATCAACATGCGCGGCGACGGGCTCGAGGAGCCCAACTACGAGCGCGCGCGCAGCTGGTTCGAGCTGGGCATTGCCCAGGGCGACGCGCAGTCGCAGTACTACATGGGCCTCATGCTGCTGCACGGCTACGGCGGCAACCCCAAGAACATTGCCAAGGCGACGGAGCTGTTCCGCGCGGCGGCCGAGCAGGACTACGCGCCGGCCCAGGTGGAGATGGGCGTGCTGCACCTGGACCAGGGCCAGCCCGACGACCTGCGCGTGGCCAACGACTACTTTGAGCTGGCCGCGCGCTATGCCAACATTGAGGCCTACTACTACCTGGCCGAGATGATCCACCACGGCGTGGGCCGCGACAAGGCGTGCGCGCCCGCGCTGACGTACTACAAGGGCGTGGCGGAAAAGGCAGACCCCCTGGTGTCGTCGTGGACCGAGGCGAACCAGGCGTACGAGTCGGGCGACTACGAGCTGGCGCTCCTGGAGTACCTGGTCGCTGCCGAGCAGGGCTACGAAAAGGCGCAGAACAACATTGGCTACATGCTGGACCCGCAGCAGTCGAGCCTGCGCCTGCCCTCGTGGCTGGCGTGGCCGTGGTCGTGGTCGTGGTCGTCTTCGTCTTCGTCGTCGTCCACGTCGTCGCTGAGTGGCAAGCAAGGGCTGCTGGACAACCCGGCCCTGGGCCTGATCCACTTTACGCGGTCGTCGCGGCAGAGCAATGTGGACTCGCTCGTCAAGATGGGCGACTACTACCTCAACGGCATTGGCACGGACAAGAACATTGACAAGGCGGTGCAGTGCTACACGGGGGCGTCCGAGTACCACCAGAGCGCGCAGGCGCTGTACAACCTGGGGTGGATGCACGAGAACGGCGTCGGGCTCGACCAGGACTTCCACCTGGCCAAGCGGTACTACGACATTGCGCTCGCCACCAACGAGGAGGCGTACCTGCCCGTGACGCTGAGTCTGCTCAAGCTGAGGATCCGGAGCGCGTGGAACACGCTGACGCACGGGTCCATCAACTCGATCCAGGACGAGCCGGCGCCGGCGCGGTCGTGGTCGTTCCGGCAGTGGGTGGACACGTTTGTGAACAGCGGGCGGTATGCGGACGGCGACGAGGACCTGTACGACGACCTGTACGACGACGACGGGTACATGACCGTGGACGGCGACGGGCTGGACGACGGCTTTGACGAGCTGGACGAGCTCAGCTTCCTCGAGCCGTTTGTCATTGTGGGCCTGATTATGGCCATTCTGTTCTTGCTGTACTACCGCCAGCAGCGGCAGCAGGCCGCGCAGCGGGCGCGCGAGCAGCAAGAGGAGGACGAGCGCAACCGGCGGCAGCAACAGCGGCAGCAACAACGGCAACAGCCATTGCAGCAACAACAACAACAGCCAAACGGCTTCGCAGGCGGCATGTTCCCTGCGCCTGGTGACCCTGGCCAATTTGATTGGCTAGCCGGCGGTGTTGGTCACTGAGGAGGGCGTGTTGATGGACGGACGCAGAAAAAGACACGAAACGGAAACATACATAAAAGCATGAATGACGAAAGCAGATGCTGTACGAGAGGTCCGAAGAAGAGGAACATTTCCTTAGTTTAGCGAGTTTGAATACATTTTTGGACAACCAAGCACGATAAGCGAGAATGGGATGCAACGACGAACTGGTTGGAGATGAAGAGTAGGTTAAGACGAGTAACGCAGTACTGTCTGAACAACGTACGACGTCAGTCTCCAACTTTTCATTGCGGCCACATCATTGTATGACGAACTTTAAAAAAGGGCTTTCTTCAGAAAAAGAAGGCACAATGAAACCATTGCCCTATTGCGCCGCGACAAATGGTGTTTTCTCACTGCTTAACAAGCAGCTGCGACTGTGATAGGGGCGGGCCTGTACGGCACCTTCCGTATTAGCAGCGATACCGGACAACCATCCCTATTCATTGTCATTTCCTGTTTTAGAAGGCTGGAGTACAGCGCGCAACTGACGGTTGCCAAATCGAGAAGGTGTCTGTGAACGGCATAAATCAAATGGTGGAGACGATATCAGAATGCACTTTGCATGTACCGTATGTCGTACGCCATATGCCTTTGCCTCCAGTTGTGAAGTGATGGGATATTTTGCATCCAGGGTTTGTGCGATGGCTCCATAGGGCTGATCGGCCCGCAGAAGCAGGATGGTTATCAAATGGCGCTGCCTTGCAGGCGAAGGCTGCTGGGGAAAATACCAAAAACAACAAGGAAACATTGCGCAGGATTGTTTAGGACGAGTCCGCTGGTGGATGTCAGACGCGTATTTCTTCGTCATGTATTTTTTGTTCCCACCCATCCTGATCTCATGCGGCCCTACCATTTGTCCATTTGTCCATTTGTCCATTTGTCCATTTGTCCAGCTGTGTGCCCTTGACATCGCCAAGGCTGCGCCAACGCATTTGTTCCTGTTAGTTTCCCTTTCGCACCTGCCACCGTCGGAAGGATGTGTAAGATGGAAGGTCCAATTACGTCGTTCGACACGCAGCAGTCCCTCCACAGCGCTGGACAGTCGGTGCTGCCCGTTCGGGGTGCCTGAGCCGCCCGTTCGCCCTTCGCTACTGCCCGCGATGATTCGCATCCGCCCAATCTGTCCTTGTCGGCCTCGCCGCTGCAGCAAGACTTTTTTTGGCCTTCATCTGTGGTTTTCTAGAAGCAGAAATAAAAGGTGACATACGACCAAAGCGCGTAAGAAAAGAAAAAAAAAAGAGTTCCAAGCACGAGGGTCTCGTGCACTTTACAAAATGTCGTTTGCCTGCGAATTATTTTCTGCTGCCTTTTTGTTTCGCTGTTGCCTTTTCGTGCTGTAGCTTCGTCGTGCCTTCCCAGAATGCGCCTGCCTCACTGAGAAACGGTACGCCTTCAATCCCTCTCGTCTTGGCGTCATATTTCGTCACTGAGTTGCCACAGCAGGGGCATTTCATGACCATCCTAGCTCACGAAAGGCTGACGACGTCTTTCGTACGACGGTAACTAATACGCCGTCGCACCAGCATCGTCGCTACTCTCCTCGATACTCTCCTGGCCATGTTCCAGGCCCACAACCTCTAAGCTCAGTCCCTCCTGCCTGTCTTTGCCACTTGCGCCCCTCGCTCTTTCCCTAAAGGATTCACCGCCCGCCAAGAATCCGCCCCGCCGTCGCTATCTCAAGGCCCGCGGCGACAGCAAGAACGCCTTGGAGCAAATAGGAAAGACCGAACAAGGGACAGCCACTGCACGAAAGAAGAAATACAGGAGCTTCCACCATCGAGCTCCTTCCTCCCCCTCCGTTCGCGTCACCTGCCTTTCACACCTCACCTTCCACGTCTTTTCTTCCTCCGCCCTGTTTTTTTATTTTTCTTGTCTGTATCATCTCTCATCTTCAAACCCGGGCCACGCCCTCTGCGACTCGACCGCAAACTTTATCCAGTTTGCCTCCCGCGTCCTCGATTCAGCCCGCTTGTCTCTATTCTTAGCTTCGGTGGGCTGCTCGAATGGCCGCTGCCTTGTCGCCTCTACTTTTCCTTTCCTCCCCATAATGCGCCTTCAACGCGCTGCATCCGATTCCTAGATATCCTTTTGCTTTATTACTTCAGCCTTTTGTTTCCTTGTTTATTTGTTTCCTTTTTTTTTGGGGCAATTTGCATTTGCTGCGTCATCGCATTATCTAGCATATCGCATACGACCTGTTGCGACTTTACTACCCCTCCGATCGTCGCCTCTTCCACGCATCCACGACGGCTTCCCCAACGAGATTTCGGGGCCTTTCCACGTCCCGGCGTTCGTTGTCATCCACGTCAAATCAACGCTCTGATTGAACTCCTCGAGCCCTTTGTCCCACTCCTTGCCTTCACCGCCGTCATGAAGTCCTCTTCCCTTAAGAAGTTCAAGAGTCTTCGCGACAAGAACGGCACACACCGCCGCAGCAAGTCTTCGGAACCAGGCAACCACAAAGTAGGACATCGTGAAGAGGCTGATCGTCATCTGTTGAGCGACAAAGAATAGAACTGACACCCTTCTTCGTGATTAGAACCGACCGCTGTCCACAGACGTCCTGTTCTCCTATTTCAAGAGCGACGCTGCGAAACAGGCCGCGAAAGAAGAGCAGGAAAAAGAACGACTGGATGCAAATGTGCGCTCGCTTGTGATGCTCTCACCTTGTCTGAAACCCCGGTGCTCGTTACTAACACGACGTCTCTCGCTACTGTCCAGGTCGAAATCATTGCCAACCGTTGTGATGAACTGGGCTTCCACAACATCAACAAAGACCACATCCGCTTTGCGCTGCTCTCGAAATACTCCGAAGGCGATGTCGACAAGGCCATCGAGCTCATCCAGCTCCAGCAGCAGGCGTTCTCTGGCACCCTGGTACCCTACAATCCCAATGTCGAGATGGTCGGTGCCGAGAACCGCGAATTTGTCACCTGCTACCTCGATGCGCTGCTGTTCGCCATGTACGCCAAGCTCGAGGCCTTTGACTGCATGCTGAAAAACGAAGAGCTCAACGAAAACCAGCGGAACTTGGCCGCCCTCCTCCGCCTCTGGGTCAACATGCTGCGCACGGGGAAACTCATCCGGATAGATATGGTGCGTAGATAAGAGGGGACTACGAAAGCAGCATATGTACAGAGTATCGATGGGACGTACGACTAATGACTGCAGACTGAAACGATTCAAAACGCCCTAGCCAGCTGTGGCTGGCAAGACGCCAGCATACTCGAGCAACAAGACACGTCGGAGGCGTTTGCATTCATCACAGAGACGCTGCAGTTGCCCCTCTTGACGCTGCAGGTCGACCTGTTCCACCAGGGCGAGCGCGACGCCGACGACCACAAAGTTGTCTACGAGCGTCTCCTTAATTTGGCCGTGCCGCCCGACCCTGAAAACAAGGGCGTCCAGCTGGAGGACTGCCTCGAGGACTACTTCAACACGAGAGTCGACGTGCTCCGCGACAGAGCAGAGGACAAGAAAGGAGCCGAAAAGGCCACCCTGGAACCTAGCGAGACCATCCGCCTTGTACCTCAAGAATCCCCCGCCGATACCTCCGCCGATGCCCCGGCAAAGGCCAACGGGCCTGTTGGAACCGTCGAGACCGTCGAGGCTGTTGGGGTCGTCGAGGCAAACGACGAGGCCGGCACCGCCAACGAAATTACCAGCTCTGAGGGCTCGAAGAGCACTCACGGGTCCTTTTCTACAGCCGATACAACGACCACCGGTGTTGTCACGGCCACGACGACCGCAGAAACTACGGAAAATGCTACTGCCACTACTGCCAGACTTGAAACCAGCGGGCTGGCGCTCGCTCCTGCGGGTGCTGTCACTGCCTCCCCGATTACCATGTCCCCCAAGGGAGACCCGACGAACGAGGCGTTTGACCGAGATCCTGCGCCCGTGGTCCGCCGGTGGACCATGGCGGAACCTAATACAGATGCTTCCGAAAACCCTGCCGAATCATCATCTGCCGCCGGACGCCGCCCATCTGCTCTTTCAGGTCCTCGGCAGCGGTCAGCAAGCATCATTCAGCGTATCGTTATCGAAGACGGCAAGCCGTCGGAGCCACAGGAAGCTTCAACCTTGCTGCAGCAGTTTAAGAAGCAAGGATCTACCATTATGAAAGCCGTTACTATTCCTGCTTGGCAGTTCTTCCGCCTAATCCGTATGTTCCGTTTGTAGAACCCCCCCTTTATAAAAGTATTTCCCCCGACTCTGACAACTAACAACACCGCAGCTTGGCACTCGACATCAAACAGCGAGCCCCAAAGTGACGTCGAGGTTATGCGCCAGTTCAATAAGCGGCCCGTTGTGGGCATCTGCCTCAAGCGCTACTTGATGAACGAACACGGCCAGTTTCTGCGGCACAATACGTACATCGACATCCCCGATAGCCTCCGTCTACCCTACTTTATGATGGGCGAGGATGGCCAGCAACCGGATGGAAATGCGCTGAGCAATGGCTACAAGCTTGTTCTGCAGTCCGTTGTTTGCCACCGGGGTGTATCTCTGCATAGCGGCCACTACATTTCGTTTGCCCGCGTCAACCCCAAGCTCCTCACCGACAACCGCCGCCACGACTTTGATCCGCCTCCAGATTACGAAGAGCAGCAATGGGTCAAGTTTGACGACCTTGACGTCGAACGCCGCGTGTCCGCTGTCGACGACATCAAGGCCGCGTTGAAAGAGGAGATGCCGTATCTTCTCTTTTACCAAATTGTTCCCATAATGGACGTGAACTCGTCGACAACGACCATCAACGAGACAAACGAGCCGCCCTCGTACGACGCCTCAACCACGAATGTTGCAGTCACGCCGCTCATGGCCGATCGCCTGGACGCAAATGGTAGCAGCTATTTTGACTCGGCTACGTTGGGCGGTTCCACGACTACTGGTCCCAGTATCCGCTTCTCCTCCGAGATGGACCGTCCTCCACGGTTCAGCCTTGACGATGAGTCTGTCGGCTCCTCTTCGTTGATTGCCAACTCCCAGAGAAGAGCAGCCGAAAGCGCCTCGCGCCGCGGTAGTCTCGGCTTTACGAGTTCCCTTGGCGGGACGCCCGTCATTACACCGGAAGGCGGCCGCTCGCCGGTTATCAACCCGTCCGATGAACCGTCCACGGCACAGCGGCTCTCCCGAGCCGCTGCCCGCTTGACGGGCAAGACCAACCGCAGTCGGCCTCCCAGCCAGGCTGGCGAGGGTCGTATGAGTCTCACAATGTCACGCCTCGGCGGTCTTGTCCGGAGCAGCAAGGAGCCCCTCCGTCTATCCGAGGACGGCATTGATGCCTCAACAACTACTATTCCTCTTACTCCGAACGCGCTCGGCTCCAATACCACTCTCACCACTGTGCATACTGCCCCGGCGGCGTCTGCGACTGCCGTTCCACCAAACACAATCGCTGGCCAGCCCCTTGAGACGGTACCGTCGGCCGACAGTGGCTTGCCGGATGGCCAAGACGACGCGGGTCGCCACCATCACCACCTCCACCACCACCATCACCATCCTCATTTCCGCCGCAAGGACAAGGACAGCCAAGCTCCGGCAGACGGTAGCGCCCCCGACCTCGTCGACAACGCCACCGCAGCGGATGGCAACAGCAACAGCAACAGCGGCAGCGGCAAAAAGGACAAGGGCAAGGACAAAGAAAAGGCCAAGAACAAGGGCTTGCCCGAACGCGAGTGCTCGGTGATGTAGGCCAGCCGCCGACGACGCCGACAACGCCGACACCGTCTCTTCTTATGTCATGAGTACACGAAATCGTTTTGCAATTGATTATTTTCCCTGCGCCTAACATCTTGATATGCGTCTTTGGTCTCCTTTTTTTGGTGTTTTTGTTTAAACATACGTTTCATTTTTGGAGTTGCATTACAAATACGGCTGGGTTCTTTACTTGTCATCCTTTATATGTATATATAAAGGCACGGAGCATAGCTTGCGCGATACTTTGGTTGTCATACCTTTGACCACTTATCATCTTTGTTTTTTTCCTTTCTTTTAGCTTCGTTTTGGTTTCTTTATATCGTTGGGTAATGAAATGATACCACTTGCTACCTGGGAACGGTAAAAGCTGGAGATGTTCGAGTTGGAAGGTGGGAGTGAACTGCAGGGCTTGAGGAAAGCATATTTATTTTTGCATTACGCAGCGAATCACAAATGCATACAATGTCACGCAAAAAAGTACGTATTTTTCGGCTGAATAAACGAACTCCGGCAACCCTTTTCAATGATGACCGAAAATTGACTCAACTATTGTGATATAGCAAGTAGATTCATGTTCTCGTCTCCTTTTGGAAAACAAGTGCACAATGTGGAAGATAAATCAAATAATTGTATGTTGGAATATGGATAGCGTCGAAGTGAAGTGACCCCCAGAAATGATGAATGGTAAAAGTAGATACACGACGAAGAATGTCGGTTTGTCTTTTACTCTTGTAAATAAAACGATGGGAATCAGGGAGAATAGGGAAAGGGGCGGCCAAACCACGGTAGTCATGCAAATAACACCAAAGCCCGCCCCATTGTCTCATCTGTAAATTTTAGTTTCCCAGCCTTAATTTTGAACATCTGCTACAACAAGCTTAGAAGTGCTTGTGGCCTTTGTGGTGGTGCTTCTTGCCGTGGTGCTTCTTGCGTAAGTCCTCATCGGCCTCATCGGTTTCCTCGACGTCGCGGGGACCGTGCTCGTGCTCCCTGTGGCCCTTGTGATGCTTGTGGTGCCGGTGCTTGGCATCAGCATCCGTAGCGTCGGTCTCATCGGTCGCCTCAGTCTCCTCAACGTCACGGGGAGCAAATCCCTTGTGACCCTTGTGGTGGTGCTTCTTGCCATGGTGCTTCTTCAGGAACTCTGCGTCCTCCGCTTCGTCGGCATCCTCGACATCACGAGGACCATGCTCGTGATGCTTGTGGCCCTTGTGGTGCTGCTTCTTTCCGTGGTGCTTCTTGCGGAGGTCCTCGTCCTGAGCATCGACCTCCTCTGTATCACGGGGAGCAAAACCCTTATGACCCTTGTGGTGATGCTTCTTGCCGTGGTGCTTACGGAACTCATCTGCGTCCGTAGCATCAACGGTCGGGGCTGAAGCGTAGCGGGTAGCAAGGTCGGCACCAGCCTGTATTGTCGTTAACTATTCGCTCTGCTATCCGGGGTCGTCAACCCTCAGGGAGAGTATATTGTACGTTACTTACATTGACGTTGGGCAGGACGGCACTGAGAACACCGGGCGCCAGAAGGAGCGCAGTAAGGAAGGTCTTGGACAGCATCTTGATGTTTGATTTTCAAGATATAAAGGAGTATAATGCAAGATGAGGGGAAGAGTCGACTAGATAATGGAGATGAGTGTGTCTCTGAAGAAGAGTGGCTTCCTTCAAGTTCTGACCTGGCCGAAGGATGAGGATGAACGAGGCCTTTATACTCGCAGAAGGTGAACTGACTTGACCTGTTTTCTGTGCACCCTTTTCTCCATGCATTCTCACTCTTTCTGGAGGCATAGACGCCTCTGTTCGTTTGCTTGTCTTGCCGCCGCCCGTGCTCTTCAAGGGAACACCGCCACGGACCCATGTCGGTTATACAGTGGGCGACGTCAGCCATTGTTGATGAGCTTACGATGTGCACGGAATAGCGAAACGCAGCGATCACCGCTCTTAATTGGCAATCTATCGACAAGACGGAGGATGATGAACCTGGGTGAAGGTCTGTTAGCGAAAAGCAAAGGCAATAAGACGTCTTCGTAAGGCGCTTGTCTTCGTCATCCCTCTATTCTCATTCACCAGGAGATCATAAAGAGGATGGGCAGGGTTCGGTGACGGCAACCCGCACGCAATGTATGCCGCCGTAGATCCAAAATATGTGTGGGCCTCTTTCTCCTATTCTGTACTCCACAACAAGCAACAAATGCATAGGGCGTCGTGGACTCTGTCTGTGCTGTGGTGTTGTCCAAAGTGCAATAAACGGACTCGGTGCATCACACGTCCGCATGAACATCTCTCGGTACGGAGAGTCGCGTCGTTGCTTTGCTGCTTTCTCAATATAACCACTTACGCTGTTGGGATGGTGTAAGGTTGACGAAGGTGGTCTGCACGAAGCCAACCCCCTCCCCCCCGCGCGCGTACAGAGCCATATGTCTTAACTCTCCGTCCTCCGTAGGTGGTTTGTGGTGGATAGATTAGCCGTTGCCGCTGCTATTTAAATCGACAGCGGAATAAAGCAGGGCGGCAGAAAACAATATGAGGCTTCCCCGATACCAGGAGCACTGAGAGCGATGACGACAGACCGACTATGGGAAGGTCAGTCAGCGGCGTGGATGGCGTACGGCGTGCTTTCACGTCGATGGAATTGGGTGTAAAAGAAGAGAACAGCTACGAGAAGCAAAAGGAGGAAAGGCTACGAATATGTTTTTGTCCGCATCACGTGTCGATGGGTGCGGGCGCTTGAGGAAAGATGTGTCGTGATGTGCTGCTCCTTCCTTGGAGGCTTAATGGCGGGTTGTGTTGTTGAATTGCCGAAAAAGGAAACCGCAGGTCCGCGTTGTGCGCACCTTCCCAGTGGCGGAGAAAATAGACTTGGCGTTTCCGTCCGACCAAAAAGGGGCGACAACATCGCATCGTAACACCCACATTCGGTCTGCATATATTACCGCCTTTTTGACGGTATAATTCACGTTGCGTGCAGCCCTGCCCAGCTTGTTGCTGCCGAATCCACACCCATACTGCCGTCGCTCCCCCATTCGCGTGCTCTCATTCCCAAAGCTGCTATATCAAGGACTCGTCGAGGCCACGCACGCCTACTATCGTGCAAAGTGTAGTCGCAGCCGCCTTTCTCTCTACCAGTCTTTGTCGATGCGGCAGAATGTTCGTGGACGTTGGGTCAGGTGTGTAATGCACCACATACAGTGGAGGCTCTCGCGCTTGCTTGCTGTATATTACCGTCCCGGCGAACTTGATTTGTGGCCCCTGCTATTACGCCATTTCGGCGCCGAATATCTGAAAACAGCAAAGACGGGGTGCTGTCATAGGGTTGGGTCCGGTGACGCGGTTGGACAGACGGTGGAACGCTGGGTGAAGTCTGGCTAAATGCTTCAGAGGTGCTTCTTACGTGGCCCACCTCCGCATCACCCACACTGCATTCATACGACTATTTGCTCAAACTCATACATTACCAGCGGCTCTGTTGCAACGCCCGTAATGATCGCTCGGGGCTCCGTCTCTTGACAATGCGGTTTTGTTTGCGTTGGCCAGTTTCTGGTGCTTCTTTTGTTGCCCCTGTGTTGATCTTATCTAAGTCTCTACATCTTCAGAAGCTTGAAAGCACACAAGATGAAGGACGTGATTGAAAGAACTCTTAAAATAGAATGAAGACCAACAGAAGCTTAAAAATGCCAAGAAAAACGTTGCCAAAGATATTATTGACGGTACAAAACGAAGTTTCGACCTAAACGTCAATGTGCAGGACCAGGAAACTTACAAAATTTAAAACAAAATAAAAGGCAATGGAGAGCAATCTGAATCAAAGTGTAGTATGAGACGGAAATCCGGCACAAAAATGTTCCATGATGACGACGATTCAATCAAGCACAGCACGACAATTGACGATGCAGCTGCGAGGCAACTGATTGCTAGACACCAGATATTACACATCTAAAAAGTAAAATGAACGGAGAAAAAAACACGCCATAACCTCCCCTTCTTGGCCACAGAGGCAAGCGACGAACGGCCACAGTAGGCGAAATATGTGCCAAGGGAGGATAGTTGAAGAAAAGAATAGGAGGAAAGAAACCTAGACTTGCCAAGATGAGAATAGACGGACCATAAACCAAACGGAAACAAACAAGCACACACAGCTCCCATCCCACGTTGCAGTCGTCTCAGTGTGTGTGATGCTACGCAACAAAGGCATACAATTCTCCTGTTCCTGGTAGCATACCTCTTTCCGCGCAGTATTCATTCGCTCCTTCATCAATAGCTCATCCCAAGTCGGCTTTCTGTTTATTTGTTTCTCTGGTTTACTTAATATCGCGTTTAATACTAACAGAAGAAAATGCAGGGAGACGTCCTACTTACACCATTGCCAAGGTGTCTATTCCATTGTATATAGTCCCTCTCTACCCCAACCCTCGTAAGACCGAAAGTGAAAATCAAATTGAGATTAGAGGAACCGCAACAGCGAGGCGGCGACATCCCGCTTGCATTATACATAGAGACGTATAGAAATAGAACACCACCTAGCCGAGTTGTAAGACCGGACTTGGCGCTCACACGCGACCTTGGCCCCCAATCTATCACGACTTGACGACAGGTGAGAGGCCATGGTGCGACGGCATCTTCAGCAATCGATAAATTATGATGGCAGTATGTTGGTAGCATTGAGGTGCAACGTTCGTCAACATACACCCCAGCAGCTTTCTAGAAATGGCGTAATGGTAAAATGAGGTGGTCTGTGTCCATATGTTCTTTGAATCGATAGACTCGCTTACAGCACAAGATCACCCAGCCATCGACAGTTCCACTCAGAACCCATATGAACAGCGTATCTCATCCACAAACCAGTCACAATGGCGACAATCCGAGGCGAGTCGCCGGGGCACAAATTTATTGACTTTGCAATGCGATCAAAATATAAGGAGGGGGGGCTGGTAGTAAGTTGTAAATGGTGTCGTGAAAACAGGAATTCAAGCGACACGACCATCGGACGAACCAGGATAGCAACCATAGCAAGGCGGCAAACTATTTACGGAAGTGCCAAGTAAACAAAATAGGGGCGAGGAGGATGCAAGAAAGTGAGGTGACGCGTTCGTAATACATGAATAAACAGGAGAAAAAAAGAAGAAAAAAAGAAAGCACCATTGTGCCGATACTTCCGTCTGCCGTCCGACAGCAACCCGATGACAGGTTCTCCTCTTTCGGCAGGTTTGCACATGACGCTAAATGTTCTGGTTCAAAGTCCAGGCGGACTAAGAACGAGCAGTCCGATGTGTGCTTATGCGACTTTTGTTTCATCATGTTTTTCTCTATATATGTGGTCAAAAGTGTATGGTAATAACACAAGACTTGAAAGCAGAGAGATGGAAAGAAGAATGATCAAACGCCACAGCCGGACCTCAAGACGAACATACAAAAAGCAAAAACAAATAAAAGGTACAAAATGCAAGATATGGGGAGTGGAGGAGGTAAGTAAAGGTAAGGCGTGCGAAACAACCGCGAGAAACATGAGAAAACGAGCAAACAAATGGGCAAAGGTGTGACAGAATTGAGATGGTGGCTTCCATTGCTGATGTTGCGTCTTTGTTTCTTGATAAAACGAGCGAAGAAGAACAAAAAGCAAACAAAGCCGCAAAAAAACAGACCCTGTGCATTTTTCTATCCCTGACCAAGCCCAGCGCACACATGTGCACATACATGTAGACCCATTAAAATGCTCGTCCCTGTTTCGTCTCGTGTCGTCTTTTCCGTCCTTTCGGCTTTTGTTTGCGTCTCTGCGTCTCTGCGGTTGTTGTTTCGTGTTTCATCCATTGCTTGTTTACATGTCTGTGCATCTCTCAACGCCGTCGTCATCGATCGTCGTTCGTTTTCACGTCGAGCTTAGAACGGCACGTTGTTGGGAGGTGTGTGGACCGGCGAGCCATCAGGGTTCAGCTCAATATCCTCGCCGCCCGTCTCGATCGAGATGCCGAGGCCAATCTTGGCTTGTTGCTACAAGTTGTTAGTGGTGTCTCCCGAAAAAACTGTATGCTTCCGTTAAACAGATAGCAGCGGGACAACTCACAGTAGCGTGGTCAACGTCGGCGGCAAAGGTCATCATGACCGGTGCCGCTACCCGCTTCTCCAGCAGCACACCCAGCTTGCCCCGCGAGTCCAGCTGTGCACGGAAGGTGGACATGCGGAAGTCGTACTTGGCGCCAAAGGTCGTCAGGCCCTCCTTCTGCAGACCACCGCCCATCACGCCGCCGCCACCGCCCGGCACCAAGGACAGCGTCATGTCGACGCCGGCCTGCACGCTCTCGGACAGGCGGCGCCAGAAGCTCGTGTTGATCGCGCCCTGCGGGTGCATCTGGGCGGTCGCGACCCAGTCGTTGGACTGGTAGCGCGCACAGTAGGACAGAGCAGCATCCGGCGGCTGTGACAGCGCAGCACGCTGCCACACACCTTCGAGGCCCAGCGCCAGCTTGGGCGTGACGGACTGCAGGTAGCTGGCAATGTATATGCCGGTGAGGCCGCCGTCGAGCACCGACGGGTTCATCATCTTGAGCGACGTCGTGAAGTCGCGGCCCGTGTACTCGTGCTCGAACTGGGCCATCTGCTGGCCGTCGCCGGGCGCCAGCTGCAGCGACGCCTTGCTGACGAGCGCGTTTGTCCAGCGGTAGTTGAAGCGGGCCGACAGCTGGCCCTCGTTGTCGACGTTTCCTTGGCAAAAGACCTAGGATGGTTAGCAAAGACACACGCACACACAGAGGGACACAAAGAGGGACACAAAGAGGGACACCGAGAGGGAAACCGAGAGGGACACAGAGAGAAAGAGAGAGAGACGCAGGACACCCACCTGGTTCGTGCCATAGAGTGCGGCGAACGTGTATGGTTGTAACCGCTCGCCGAGGGCAAACTGGTGCGACACTTGGAACAGCGGCGACACGCTAAACGGTTTCGTCAGGTCCGCCTTGATGCCCGTGAACATGTGGTTGTTGAGCAGCACATCGCGCTGCACCTCCTTGGCCAGCGACTCGACCGTGCCGGGGTTGCTCAGGCCGAACTTGTCACGCCGCTCCGTCAGCGACCGCCACGCATCTGTGATCGACACCGCCACCGGGTTCGTCTGCAGAAACGACTGCAGCGCGTCTGTTGCCGACGCCATTGCTGCGGCTGTGTCTTGTGCTGTTTGAGGAGGGGCTGAAGGTATTGCTGAGTAGGGAGTGTACGGTGAGGTGCGCTTCGGGGCGCAACAGGGAGAACAAGGAGGAGAGCAGGAGCGGAGGAGCGGAGGAGAGCGGGAGTGTGGCTGCGGCTGTTCGCTTCGCCAATCGTCAATTCAATTCGGCCGCTCGGATCGGGGGGTGTGCTGAGCAAGGACGGAGGCGGCAGGGGCAGGGAGAGAGAGGCTGCAAAGAGAGGGAGGGGTGGTGGTGGTGTGGATGGTGTCGTCGAACGTTGACGCCGAATGGAGACTGGGAACAAGGAAAAAAACTTGTCCGGCGAGAGTTTGGCGCGGAAAAAAAATGAAAAAGAAAACTGGGGATTGGGACTGCCCTGTACACTGTTGGGCGCCCACCGTACGGACAGCGGGCGATGACGTGCAATTCTGCGGTGGTTCAGGTATTATTGAACCCCAGATTGGATTGAATATATTTTGTGTTTTGTAGATGTTTTCTATGCCTATATTTATTTTCATTATTTTGTAATGCTGTTCTGAACACAGACGTCACAGACCGGGAAAGAGCAGACAGGATTTTCGACGGCTCCTTCCCTCTCGCACAAAGGCCTGGGGTGGCTTCCCCCGGTAAAAACGCTATTCGTCGCCTGGAACACGCGGCACGTGCCTGGAGATGTGCACGTGACCAGCACAGAATAACATAAAAGCAACTCAACGTCACCGCGATAGGACAGCGGGAGAATGTAAGAAAAGAACAAACAATTTGCCGTGTGAGAGACTGTGATATTCTTCTTTATCTTTAACTTAATTGCACCATGGTGTGTGGCCGACAGTCCACAACGGAGAGTATGTCAAAGGCCATCCGACCTGGCGATGTAAAAATGCTGTTCTCTGATTGGTTAGGATTAGACTCAACAAGACGATCTGAGCATGTATTTGTCAAGCAATAACTGGATAAGACCATGAATCTGAGCAGAGTGAGAGTTTGTATTTATAGAAGGGCCTCTCAGAAACCGACTTACCGGCGTGGTAGATAAAATCACCATCTAGATGTAAACAAACGTGTGTGTCATCAGCGCCCAGCACTTGTCATCGCTGGCCAAGTGCAGCATTACGGCCATCGTATCGCTCTCTACCACCCGCAGTTCCTATCTCGAATCATCCAAACCAAGCACGCCTTGTCGGAGCAGAAATCGCTGTATCTGGGACAGGCGCCGCCATGGTAAACGCCGACCTTGACGGTCATTCACTATAGGACACCATTCCAATATTTTGCTTCGATCTAATCTGAGTTATCTGCACGCTTCATCCTCATCATCTAAGCCAGAACTTCTGGTTATGCGCCTTTCAAAATTATGGCATCTCTTTGTCAAGTTCTTTGTCAAGTCAGCTCCTTCCTCTTGTACAGCTTACACCAGATGTCCCCACTGTCTGCCGGCGGCTGGCCTTGCCTCTTCCGAGGATATCCTTCACTAGCCTTGCGTGTTTTCGTCTGTTAACGCCCGCCAATCGAAAAGCACCAGCGCCCACCTGTAGCGCACCTTCCTCCCTGTCGTCCGCCTCCGCCGGCCCTACCTTCCCTCAAGCTGGTACAACAACAGCTGGATCATCGTGACTTTCCATTTCGAGCCTCATTTCTGCCTTCTCGTCATTTTGTCCTCTTTACTCCTTTCTCTGCACCGCCAACAATCTCTACACAACCCGCCACGGCGGTCCAGACCCAGCTCTCTCCAACAGCTTGTCGCATCAGCCCCACTTCCACAGCTGGGACCTGCTACCACCCCTCCTTCGGGCGTCTGTCTCGACAGGTCACACTACGCGGCCGCTGCGAAACGAAACCCTGTCCGCGTTGCTTGATACAAAAATGGATACGCTGCTGTGAGTCGTCCTTTTGGTTTCTTCAGTGTGTGCTTGCTGCCGGCCTTGGGTTCCCCTGCTGTAGGTCATGTGAGCGAGTCGTATGTCACGAAGACAACAGTCTGTCTTGGCATGTGATTCATCCGACCCGGACCGTGCACGATCTGCGGATAGAACGGCGCCGGACAACGGCGCAAGGATTCCCACCCGGTGTCAATTGATGCGCCGGCATTTATGGCTTGTGACCCCGCCTGCTAACACTCTCCGACAGTACGGCCGAGATCGCGGCCAATGCGCCACGGTATCGGCGCAAGAGCTCCACCTTCATCGACGGCATTCACGATGTCTCCACGAACACGGACCACATGGCCCCAGCCCAGCTCTACAGCACCATGTCCGGCCGCCTCTTCCACTCTGGACGTATTGCGATTGTAATGGTCGGCCTGCCGGCACGCGGCAAGACGTGCGTTCCCCGAGCGTCATTGGTGTGAGCGTCTCGAGATGGCCACAACACTGACAACAAGTGCTACACAGACACATCTGCGTGTCCTTATCTCGGTATCTCCAGTGGTGGGTACTCACTCCCTTTAGGTCTCCTTTGGTTTCTGCAACATCCTAACTAACTTCCAACGCCAGGCTGGGCGTCAAGACACGCATCTTCCATCTGGGCGACTACCGCCGTGCGACTGTTCCGGGCGGCGCGGTGCCCGAAGACTACTTCTTCCCCAATGCCACGCCGGCATCCATCATACTGCGCCAAAAGATCCTCAAGCGCTGCCGTGAAGACATCTATTCCTGGCTGAACCACGAGAATGGCCAGGTCGCCATATATGACGCCGTAAACCCGACGGCGACCGGCCGGAGAGCTCTCGCCAAGGAATTTGCAAAACACGACGTGCAGGTGCGACATCGCCCGTTGTTCACATCCTTTGTCCCTATACTTTGTCCTTTCCTCCTTCTGTCAACAGCACTAACAACCGGTGCAGACACTCTTCCTCGAGTCGTTTGTTGATGACCAACGTATTCTCACAGAAAACGCCCGGAACGTCAAGATCTCGTCTCCTGATGTACGCAGGTTTCTTTATCATGCTGCCCTCTGTCCACGCGCACAGCCATTCTGACTCTTCTGTAGTTCGCCGGCATGGACCCCGACGAGGCGGCCCAGTTGTACCTGAAGCGCATCAGCGCCAAAATCCCCGTCTTCGAGACCATGGACGAGAAGGAGCTCAACTTTGTCAAGATGATCAACGCCGGCCAAAAGTTCTTCTACAACAACGTCTCCTTCAACTACCTCTCGCACCGCATCGTCTTTTACCTCACCAACCTACATATCAAGTCGCGCACGACCTACTTTGCCCGCGCCGGCATCGCAGCCGACGTGCCCGAGGAGGAGGAGTCGTACCGCGCCGACCCGCCGCTGGGCCCCGCAGGCCTGCACTACGCCGAGCTCATGTCCGAGGCGCTGCTGGCGCACCGCGAGTACGAGCGGCAAGCCGCCGCGGCCGCGGCCGGCATCACAGATCCCCCTCCATTGCGTCCGCTCACTGTGTGGACGTCCACGCGTCTGCGTACCATACAGACGGCGGACTACCTCAAGGAGCGCGGATACAAGGTGCGGCAGCGCTCGCAGATGAGCCAGATCAACCCTGGTGTCTGCGAGAAGCTGTCGGACCGGGCACTGCGCGCCCTGTATCCAGAGGAAGTCGATCTTCACCAGCTAGATCCCTATCACCACCGGTTCCCGCGAGCCGAGGTATGCACATCCTGGCCGACATCGATTTTGTTCAAACAGTTGTATCGCTAACCTGCCCGCCCCGCATAGTCCTACCACGACCTGGCAGTGCGCCTGGAGCCGATCATCCTGGAGCTGGAGCGGGAGCAGAACGACTTGCTGATTATTGCCCACGAGTCGGTGCTGCGCGTGCTGTACTCGTACCTGATGCACTGCAGCGCCATGGACATTCCCAAGCTCAAATTCCCGCGCAACAAGATTATCGAAATCATCCCCGCGGCGTACCAGAACGAGGCCAAGATTGTCCACATCCCGGGCCTCGAAATGCCCCCGTCGCAGGGCAGCAGCAGCCCCGACAACGTCTTTTTCCGCCACGCATCGCCGCTCCTCACGTTTAGCAGCAGCAGCGGCGCCATGAGCCCGATCCAGGGCGGCGGCCTGACCAGCAGCCCGCCGGATGCGCTGGAACCCTTGACCCTGCCGCCGGCCGGGCCCAGCGTCGCCGCCGTCGGATCCGGCGGCATGGTCAAGCCGTCGCCGCACAACACGTCCCAGCCACCGTCGCAAGTCACATCACAGCCGCACTCGCGGACGCACTCGCGCATCCAGTCCGAGACGGTGTCGCCGTCGTCGTCGCCGTCAGGGGCGCAGCTGCAGCAGCAGTGGGCACCCGAGCGTGTGGTGAACAAGTCCAAGGAGGCCGTCGCCGACAAGGTGGCCGACGAGGATTAGTGGAGCTATGCAACTGCCGAGTACAGCGAGATTTGATGCGTATGATGAGTACGATTTAATTTTGTTTGATTCGATTTGTGTGTAGCTTTAGCAGTCAATGATTCTATTTGTCCTTCTTTGCAATATCTATTCGTGCATCTTGCTATCCAATGTGCTACATGTAATGTGTGTCACATATTGTGTTACGTCCCACCAGCTACGCCCCACAATTGCACTCCTCACAGTTACAGCTTCGCCTTGCTGTCCTGCTTCTGCATGGTCTCAGCAACAATGCGGCGCTGGATCTTGCCGGTGGCTGTCTTGGGCATCACGTCGGTAAAGTAGACCTTCTTGGGCACCTTGAACTTGGCCAGCTTCTCCGCGGCCCAGCGCTGCAGCGCCTCCGGCTGCAGCGAGGAGCCCGGCTTGCGCACGACGGCGACGCCAATGTCCTCGCCATACACGTCGTCCTTTATGGCAAAGCTGACGGCATCGGCGACCTCGGGGTGGCGCGTCAGGACATTGTCGAGCTCAATGGGGCTAATCTTCTCGCCGGCCTTGTTGATGAGCTCCTTGATGCGGCCCGTGATCTGAATGTAGCCGTCTTCGTCCTTGCGGCCCTGGTCGCCTGTGCGGAAGAAGCCGTCGGCGGTGTAGGCGGTGGCGTTGGCGGTGGGGTTGTTGAGGTAGCCGGACGTGACGTTGTCGCCCTTGACGCAGATCTCACCCTCCTGGCCCTGCGGCAGCTCGGCTCCCGCGTCGTTCAGGATGCGGACCTCGACGCCCTGCCCCAGGCCGACGGCACCCGGCTTCCGCTTGGCAGGCGGCAGCGGGTTGGAGGTCATCTGGTGGGCTGCCTCAGTCATGGCGTAGGCCTCAAGAACGGGGGCGCCGAGGGCCTCTTCGAGCTGGGCAAAAACGGTGGGGGACAGCGGAGAGGAGCAGGAGCGGACGAAGCGGATGGACGGCCGCGGGTTGGGGATGGGATGCTTGAGAAGGATCTGGTGGATGGTGGGGACAGCCGTGTACCAGTTGGCCTTGTGGCCGACAAAGTCGCGCCAAAACTCGGTGGCGGAGAACTTGGGGGGCACGATGAGCGAGCCGCCAGAGAAGAGGGGGGCGAGCAGCCCGCAGAGCAGGCCGTGGACGTGGAAGAGGGGCATGACGAGCATAGACCGGTCCGCCGGCGTCAGCTTGTACGTGTCCTGAATGTTTTCTTGGGTTGTTAGCGAAAGTAGGTACAGTGATGAATAACCGTAGGCTAGGCAAGGGAGACATACTCATCGTCACCGTGAGATTGCGGTGCGTCAATGGGACCTGAGCGTATGTTAGACAAGATCGTCATACAATGTAAAATAAGAAAAAGGTAAAAAAGAGGACATATATGAAAGGGCAGGGGGCGCTCTGAATGTAGAAAAGAAAAAAAAACTCCAAGACTCACCACTTTCGGTCTCGATGTTGTTCCGCTGTCCCATGTCAGTGTAGGCTCCAGAAAAAGTAAGTAAGTCCAAAGGCAAAGTCTGCCAGAAAACGCACCTCGTGTGCAAGACCAGGGCCACGTCGTGCGGCTTCGGCCATAGTGTCGGCTGCGGTCCGCTCTCAAGGCGGCCAAACTCCTTGACGTCCAGGGCGACCTCGCCGCGCTCGGCGTCCCAGTAGGACTCGGCAATGGCGGCGCGGAACTTGCGGGCAGCCCGCACGGCAGGGGCATCCGCGGCAAATGCGCCCTTGGGCACGAGCACAATGGCCGACTGGACGTCCTCAATGTAAAACTCAAATTCGTCCTGCTTGTAGGCCGGGTTGAGGGGTGCGGCGACGGCGCGCTGCCAGGAGGCAGCCAAGAACGACACGATAAACTCGTACGAGTTGACGGTGGCAATGGAGACGGGGGCACGGCGGCCGATGCCGAGGGCGGCAAGCTTGGCCTGGTAGCGGGAGACCTCGGAAACGAGATCGAGATAGGAGACTTCCAGCGGCTGGGCGCCGGGGCCAGCGGCGGGCACGATCACGGCCGTGGACGACGAGGCGCCATTGATGGCCGAACGGAGTGTCAACGACATGGCTGGTCAGTATGGGTGTGGGCGGACGTATCAATCGATCGCGATGCTTTGCATGGAGGTCGAGAGATTGTGGAGAGCGGTCGTCGGATGTTGTGATGACGCCTTTGGGATGGTCATGTGACGCAATGCGGGAGGTCTTGACTAGATGAGGAAGGCACGACTGGCGATACCGAGTATGGTTGACAAAACGAAGTGACGATATACAGCCAAATTCTCTACAGAATCTGTCCAGACGAGAAATGAAACAGCAAAGAAAGGCCAATCGCCAAGACGAGGAGAGACGAGAAGGGGAGATGCTGTGGGTGTGCGGCAAGCTGTCGGAGCAGTGCGAGCCAAAAAGTGGGTCGCCATGTCTCCTTCCCCCGTTTCCGCAGCACAAAGCTGCCCTGTAGCCCCACATAAATCCATGTTGAATCTGCAGTCGTCTCAGGGCTGGAGTCAGGTTGTTTTGGTGAGGAAACAGGACTCGTGGGAGACAAGTCTTGAGTGAGGGCAGAGTCTGTCGTATCGACGATGTACGACTTGTGTGGGCAACTACGAAGCTGTAAAGCAGAAGGATACGACGATCCGAGTGTGGTTGTTGAGTCAGAGTGTAAAGAGACTGCTTAACAGCAGAGTAGCACGTTTCTTCATCAAAATAATTCACATAGAAAGAAAAGAGAGTGACGACATGAGAGTACGTGCGCCGAAAATAATAGAATAAGAGACATGCATGGAGAATGTTAGATTGTTGTCTGTCATCCAGTTCTCTGGGAGAGCTACAGCTTTAAGGCTCTATGTCGAAATGCAGGCTCCACTATAATAGCGTGGTGTAGCCATTGGCATAGGCGCTAACACAAGTGCAGCCGAATTGCATCGCAGAGCCTCGCCGACGTATCGACAGACAAATTTAAACCAACAGCTTGCCCTGGACAACACCGAGCACGCCCTACGTCCAGGACCGCCAGCACCAAGCCACGCCATGGCTGTGCCTCCACCACCGCCGCCACGCGGCACCATGTCGCTGTACGCGAACCTGCTCGGCGATGGAAACAACGACGCCTCGTCGTCGCCATCAGCGAAACCCGAAGCAGCGAAGAACCCAGGTGCGACGAGATGAAACGATGCTCCAATGCCGTACTGCATGCAGACTGCGCACAACAATGAGAACTAACGTGTCTCGTGTCTCTTCTCACAGCCCTCCGCTTCCAGCCCATGATCCGTCGGCCACAACAGAACGCCAAAGGCAAGCCAAAAGCAAAGACGCCAGGCCTGCCTTCCTCGACGCGACCCGCCTCTCAAGCTACGGCATCCGTCTCCACCACAACCTCGACTCCTGCCCCTGCACCAGCACGCACGTCCCTGGCCGACTGGACCTCTGGCGGCGGTGATGGCTACAACAACAACGACGGTGACGACGACAACGACGACTATTACGCCGGCATCGGCGGCGGCTACGATGATTATGACGGCCCTGGCGGCCGGAAATGGCCGCAGCGGGGCGGACGGAAACGCAGGAAGAAGCGGCTCGAGGACAAGCAGCGCATGGCGGCGCGCGACGCGTACATGGTCGACTGGGACGAGCTGTACGACCCGGCACGGCCGACCAACATTGAGGCGTACCTACAGAGCGACGAGCACCTGGACGCCGTGCACGCGTGGAAGAGCGTACTGTATGCAGACCGGCGCAAGAGGCAGCGGCAGGAGCAGGCGAAGGCTGAGAAACCAAAGGCAAGCGACGACAGCAGCTCGTCTGGAGACGAAGGGAGGGGCCGGCCGCCCCATCCGAACAACAACGCTTTTGCGCCGCCGCCGCCGGCCGCCTTTGCACCGCCGGCCAGCTACGATCGGCCCGCCGCAGCAGCCGTCGGTCGATCGCCTTCGCCTGCACAAATGCCGTCCTCTCCACCGCCACGGCCAGACGGTCTAGTCGTCTCCAAAGCGCCCATCCGCTTTGCCCCAGCCGCAACGGGGGACCATGACATGAAGGACAAGGGCAACAGCGAAGAAGAAGCTGACGAAGACGACTACAGGCCATCTTTGTCGGCGTTGGCAGGTGACACCACAGAAGGCACGGAAGGCAAGGAAGGCACAGAGCAGCTGCGTACAAATCGGCCTGGCCAGGCCGGCTTTGCCGCCCGGCTCATGTCAAAGTACGGCTGGACGCGTGGTTCCGGCCTCGGTGCCGACGAGAGCGGCATCGTCAACCCACTGCGGCATAGGAAAGTCGGCAAGAGCGGAGCCGTCGGGCGCATTGTTGGTGGTGGCAGCAGCAGCGCCGGCTCTCGAAAGGGAGACGCGAGCAACGAACCCAAAATATCCCCCGTCATCGTCCTCCGGAACATGGTCACGGGATTGCCCGATCTGGACGCCGAGGTCGCCGATGGCCAGCTCGTGCAGGACATTGGCGAGGAGTGCGGCGCGCAGTACGGACGCATTGAGCGCGTGTACATTGACGTGCCCGGCCAGCTCGTCTTCATCAAGTTCACAGAAGCCGTGTCGGCACTGCGGGCGGTCAGTGCGCTCGACGGCCGCATCTTCAACGGCAACGCCATCGTTCCCAGCTTCTACGACGCTGACAAGTTCGAGGAGGGAATATACGAGTAGACCCGACAGCCGTTGAATGACAGAACGAACTATCATGACTTACAAAAATGACACATGCATCAAGTAATTGTACTGTGGGCTATCAGCTGGCTCGTATCCAAAATCGTGAGTAGACCACACCAGTGTAGTAGTACGTGTCGCGTCAGTAGCGGTGTACGCAACAGTTACAAATAAAAGCATTAAAAAAAAGAAAAGGGCTATTAGTTATGGTAGCTGTGTACGTAATCGGCTATTTCGTGGGATACGACAGGATGACATCGAGTGGTCAAGTGCAAAGAAAAGACAAGAATGGTAAACAAAGCAAAAATAAAAAATCCTGTGCGGGACAAGCATTGTGGCAAAGCAAGACACAGAAAAGAGTGTGCGACTATAAGAAAAGAGACAAAATCAGGAGGCAAAACCGTCATTTTGATACTACTTCGAATGTCTCTCCGCGCGGAAACGCAACGCATGCATAACCGCCCTCCTGAATGAGAAGTCAACGCGATAAAGGGCAATAGCCAGGCCTTCCATCGTGTCACACCCCCATTTTTGTAGTAAAATATGTAAATAGTTTTCGATCCTTACAGCATCTGAGCAAAGGCAGCAACACCAGCCAGGCCGAGAACGGCCATGGAGTTGACGCTGATGCCAGCAGCCGAGTTGCCCTTGCCGGTCGGACTGCTGCCGCTCGAGCTGCCAGTCGAGGTGGGGTTGGTGTCCGAGTTGGCCTGAGCGTTGTTGCTCTCGCAAGTATACTTGCCCTGGATCTGGCCGCCACCACCCTGCGAGGAGGGAGCCAGTTTCTTAAAGGAATCGCACGAGGCGGAGATATCACCCGTGGAGACAATGTCGAAAGCACCCTTGACGTCGTTGAGGGCAGGCAGCTCAATGCTAAGGAACAAAAGTGTTAGTCACGTGGCTTGTTACAAAAGGAGTCGCGTAGGTGATGGAGGGGACGTACTCTGTGAAGTTGCCACGCATGTTGATAGCACCGCCAACCGTCTTCAGCTTGTTGAAGCCGTTCACCTTATGCTGGGCAGTGTTGTTGGCAAGGAGGAAACCGCCGCCAATGCTGGTCAGCTTGGGGATGGTGATGTTGGACAGCTGAGCGTTGCTGACAAACGAGATATCACCGGTCGAGGTCTCCGTCAGGTTGGGAGCAGAGAACGAGTCGAAGAAGTTGGAGTCAAAGCGCATGGAGCCATTGACGGTCGCCAGGGACGGGACGCTGAAGCTGGAAACGTTGGAGATGGTCATGTTGGCAATCCAGATCAGGTTGGGGAAGCTGACATTCAGGTCAAGACCGTTGGCGTTGATGTTCAGCAGAGTGGTGAGGTTGCCAAGCGACGAGGTGTACGAAACCAGGCGGCGGTTGTTGTTGATGTTGATGGTGTCGGCCGAGGCAACATCAAGACCGTCCAGGCTGCTCAGGAAGGTGTCGCTGACAACGATGCTCTTCGCGGTCTTGATACCGGCCGTGAAGGTCAGGACATCGATGGCAGTCAGGGAAATCCAGTTGATGGAGCCGACCGAGGTCAGGTGAGAGAAAGACAGCGTGGAGAGCGTGGTCAGGTTCTGCAGGTGGAAATTGCCCGAGATCTCAGTGGTGGTATCGCTCTTCAGCGTGGTGACCAGGTTGTTGTTAAGCAGGGTCAGGTCGCCGTCAATGACCTTGATGCCAGTGAAGTCGAGGGTGGCATCGGTCTGGTTGCCAATGACGACATTGCCAGTAAGAGTCGAGCAAGACAACAGGTTGGTGATGTCAGCCTGGGAGTTGACGGTGAACGTGTCCTGCTTGCAGATGTCGGAGGACGAAGACGCTGCCGAGACAACGCCCGCAGCCGCCGCAAAGACGGGCAGAATCTGCTTGGAGAACATGTTGCTAAAAAAGCTAGTTAGCGAAGAGTCGACTGGGCCTGGCAAAATGAAAATGAACGAGAAGAAAAAGTGAAAGGCCAGCAAAAGTCGCCAGAAACACCTCCTAGAGGTCCTGCGAATGCCTCGTGACCTGTTGTGAAAAGCCGTGACCAAGAAGCAACAAGGAACCGTCCGAAAGTGAGAAGCAAGATTGTGGTAGCTGTCTGGGATTTTGAGATAAAATTTGCAGAGGGCGCCATGAAACCGATGGAACAAAAAAGAGATTGCTGCTGTCTGGCGACGACGCAAGTTCCGGTGCTTCTCAAAGGTGGCGAACCAAGCCAAAACAGTATATGGCGATTTCAATAATCGATGCTGCAATGGTTTTGCGTTTGAGCATTCGTAGTGCGTGTGTGAGAGAGACAGAGAGATGGTGCGCGCGCTTTGGTGTTTGGTCGCTTCCTCTGATTGTGTGACAGGCAGCTAGAGTTGCATTGTGTTCGTCGTGATAAAGGGGCCGTTGACTCCCTTTGCTGTCTGTGCTCATGTTGTTTTGGTTGTTGCTTCTCCGGTAG